CGATTTTCTGCAAGGGTTTGTCCTTTATTTTCTCTGGAGCCACTTTTTGAGGCTGGAAGGGGGTGGGGAATGAAGGTGAGTTTTTTATTTACACTTGTGTATGGGGTATGAGACCTATGTGGGAAGTTACTTAAAAAGTCTTACCAAAGGAGGAGACCCCCGGAGTCTGGGGGAGGGATGTGCCTTTGTTGCCTGCACTATGTGCGTAGGCCCTACCAGCACTGTCTCTGGACACCTCACCACTAATAAATCCACCTTTTCCACATTTTGGTGGTGGAGAGAATGTCTGAAGCAGATCCAAAATATAGAGACCCCAACGGTGGGGTTCAACTCACAGACTAAGGCATCCAAACCCAGGTATCTCCTTGCAAGTCAGGGGTCTCCTGATAAGGTCTACTGAGATTCAACACCCCCGTGCTGAGGCCTAGAGCCTCCCTGGCCCTCAGCTGATGCTCCAGGAAAGCTGAGGACTCCATCAGGTCCTGCATCCTGCTTCCACATCCTTGAATGTCGAAGAAGCCTCGTGGGACCTCAAGTGGCTGGTCCAGGCCCAGCTCTTCCCAAAGAGCTCACAAGGAAGCAAATTAATTTTGGCAGGCATAGGTGAGCAGAGTAACTATAAGTGTTTATACCTACGCTGAAATTTCTAGATAAGTCTTTTATTTTATCTCCATTATTATGGACCCTCTGGGCTCTCTGACACTCAGAGATGGCAGAGATTTAATTAACAAACTAATTAAATCTATGCAAGAATATTAGCCACTCTTCTTGGTGTATTTAAAGCCACATAACCACTTGCTCTGGAATGGATGTGCTTATAAAAACGCTTTGTGCCATGACTGTGATCTACGTAAATGGGAAGAGGGAGGGAACGATACTGGTACGAAGCCCTCTAGTACTGGTGAGGTTCCAGCAGTATCCCAGGCAGTACCAATATAGCAGAGGAGTAATCACATGCTGTTTTCAGAGCTCAGATCATAAACTCGTCTGGGCTGCTCATCCGTGAGAGGCTCAAAGGATGAACATTGATCTCTAAGCTGGGTCATACCTCAGAAATGTTCCTTTGCTCCCAGAGGTCTGGGACTGGACAACCCCATCCTCCCCTCTCCCTTCCTTCTGTATTAGTTTTTTTCATTTTTCCCAGCATAATCCAGTGTGATTGTGCTATTGTTTGGGATTTTCCTCCTCTGCCTTTAATCTCCCTTGAACCCCTGCTTGTTTTCCTTTTCACTGTGCTCTCAGCGTGTGCTGTCATCCAAGGTTTGCTTCCACATTCCTCACATCACGAGGTGCTGCTGCCGAGCCAGCTACAGCCCAGCTCTTCCCACAGCAGATCCCAGATGATCCTGTGGCTTCTTTAAGGTTTATGGTCCACCCAGGAAAAGAGCACCTCCTTGGTCCCAAACCTGCTCCGAGGTCTCCATCATCTTCTGTGGCTCTGCAGAGCTCCAAGGCTTGGGGAAGCAACCCCAGTTCTTCCAGAGTGCTGTCTCCCCTCACTTGTCATCATAAGGTGACACCTCTAAATGCAATGGGACCTACCTGAAATCGCAGCTTCAGTAGTAAGTATGAACTTGTATATGGTTTTGGACTGTGCAGGTGATTGGAAACGGGGACTGGCTCTGGAACAGGTGAATATCCCACCCTGGGAAGTGGTAGATGGAAGATGAGCAATGGGCTCGCTCCCTCCATGGGCAACAGCTCAGTGGAGAGCAGGAAGGCATTGATCCACCTCCACAAATAAATCTCTCCCTTTAGAGACTGATGGATTGATGGAAGTCAGTGCTTTTTCCAGGCAAACAGGGCCTGAGAGCTGTTCTGGGTTCATATTGACAGTTAATGGACCTTTTCACCCTTCCAGAGTTCACCCTGGGGCAGACTTCTCCAGAGCAGCAGCGACCAGAGCTTTCCACCCTTCAGGAAGATGGAAAACCCTTCAGGGACAACCACCTCAGGACAAATGAACAGCTGGATTTTGGTTGCTTTCACCACCATGCCCTGCTTTGGCAGGGAAAGCAGACTCAGACCCCCCTGCCCATGCGGGGAGCAGCCCTATTGCTAAACACATCCAAGCCCACATGTCAGAGATGGGATTTACCAAGCTTCATTTTGCTCTGAAATCAAGCCAGCCCATTCTAGAGCCTGGTAGAAATCAGCCATTTGGACTGAAAGGCCTCAGAGACGCCATGTTATTCCACATGGTTTTGGCTCTCTCGGTCTGGGGGGTGTTGTTTAAGCTCCCTGCAATCACAGGGAGAAGCAGGCACCCCTGGAGCTGATTTCCTGCACCCATGTTGGGCAGTTGCCTGTGATGAGAGGGCTCCAGTGCTGCCAATCTTTCCCCTTTCACTTAAATCATGAATTCATACTGGACACCTTAACTGTTCCCAAAGCCTCCTAACCCTGGCTCCATGCCATCCCCTCGGGTCCTGTCGCTGTCCCCAGAGAGCAGAGCTCAGCGCCTGCCCCCCCGCTCCCCTCATGAGGGAGCTGCAGGCCGCCATGAGGCCTCCCCTCAGCCTGCTCTGCTCTGGGCTGAACAAACCAAGGGCCTCAACCACTCCTCACAACGTCTTCCCCTCTAGATCCTTCACCATCTTTGTTACCCTCCTTTGGACACTCCCTAATAGTTGCGTATATGGCCCAGGCTGGACACGCAGACTGTGCCCTCTGTGTTAACCCTGACCTCAAAGCATCTGTAAGCCTCCTAGCCTCCAGAACACAAGCATGTTCATCTCAGATAAGGAAAATTCCTCCCCAAACAAGTTTCTGCCACAGCCTGGTGGGACAGGGGCTCAACCTGGTGGACTCCAAACCCTCTGAGCAGCTCTGTGCCATGGGGAGGCTCACACAGTGCTAATGGGGAGACCCAGGGGTGCTCTTGAAGCTGATGTTTAGCTCTCCTGAAGGTTCCTGGGGCAGGGAGTGAAGAGCCAGCAGTGCTTTGTGCAGCTCAGATCCACAGCCTTCAGGTCCTCTCCACCATTTGGAGCTCAGACGAACTTTCATCTCATATTTTAGGTTACATGTTTCCAGGATCTCGAGCATGAAATGTTTTTCTCAGTTGTGTGCACACTATTCCCCCAGTCCTGTTTTTTATTTGTATATGCTGGTTTGTCATTGCCATTTTACAATCTGTGTTTATGTGCAGGGGATTCGACAGGGCTGGGTCCTGCCACACTGGAGAGTCAGTACCACATCTTATTGACCGGTGAGGAAGATGTTTCTCTCTCTCATGATAGCAGTGGAAAATGAGTCAATTGACACCTGTGTAAATATTAATCTCTTATGGAAGTTTTGATCATGGTGGACTTTTCCCATCCAGTTTCGATTTGCTGCATCACCATGAAGCTAAGCTGGCCTCCAAGCAAGTACCAGCAAAGTTTAGAGGGTTTTAAAACCTAAAAGCAGATGATAAGGCACATATAGATGTGATTAGAGCAAGCAGTGATCGTTGTTACAATTTGGCAATCTCTGTGCACGTGAATTGACTATCTCAGCACCCCAGGGAACCCTCCAAACAGTGCTGACTGCTGTAGAATAGGCAACACAGCCCTGAACAGAGGTGGGCTACTCTGAGATAGCTTTCAGCTAACTGACCCTGGTCTAATGGGACTACAGCAAATGATACCTGATGACCAATGGACTAAGTCATTGTCTCCAAGCGGACAATAGTCCCCCACCCAGGCATGGGAGTGAGTGAGAATGAATGGAAAGCATCCTAAGGGGATCCATTCCCCATCCAAGCAGGATCATTCCCTCCCGTACAAAATTTTAGAACAAGAAAGTTGAATGCAGGATCTACAGCCATGCTGGGCGTAACATGAAAGTGTCTAGTGTAGGATTATGAATTTGGATTTGAAGTTGCAATAATTTTTGTTTTGTTTTGTTGTTTTGGCTTCCAGGTGAGTTTTGCTATCACAGTCAAGTAATAATGAGATCAGGTGAGATTCTTTCCCGGAGGGAGATGGGCAGTTGATAAAACCCATTCCACAGAGGACTACGCTGAGGCTGAGGGACTCTGCACAAGGCTGAGCAGCGAGACATGGCTGCGACAGCACCACTTTGGCAATTCTGGCCCACAAGATTTCCTGAACTTCTAATGACATTGATAACTAAGGGGATGTCTTCAGGCAAACAGATACAAAGCCCAAGTTCTCCCATGTACTGTTTCTCTAACAGATTGCTTGCTCGGTGTCTAAGATTAGCTCCTCCTGACAGCTCCATTAGATGCAGCTGCTGGGTAAATTTAGATCCTTAGTGAATGGGTTATTTTCTCCCCCAGATTATCCAAGTCAGGAGAGCAGTGCAGAGTCACTGAGTTTTGCTTTGTGAGTCATTCCAGCACCAGGAGCTGGGTGACTCTACTTCTCCTCCCGTGCAGCCAGGGACACCTGCAGAGGCAGAGCCCTTATTCTCTGCAGCTCAGGGTGGTGGCTTGAGCTGTGTGAGGACACCCGTACGGAGGAGAAGAACTGAACTTTACCCTGGGAGGAGGCACATCATATCATAGCTGCTTTGGTGGTAGAGAGTAAATGTGAGATGATGGAGAGGCTAAGAAACATCTACTAAAGGTCCAGCAGTAGACCTCTCTTTAAAAAGGCAACTGAAGAGGTTTTAGGGATGTGACTGGAAGTGCCACAAAGTACAATACCTCCCTGTACTTCCAGCATTTTGGACTGGGCTCCCAGAAAGAAAACCAGCAAGACTTCTGCCCCAAAAGCTACACAGATGCCGGTTTTACAGCAGTAGACTAGTGATATTTTACCAACATGGAACCAGATTCAAAATATGAATGTAGCTACAGCCAAACCTCACTGGCTCCAATTTGGTGATGGCATTAAGGCATTAATATCAGCAATGTCTGATGTGTCAAAAGTGGAGGCAGAAGGTGAGGCCTTGCAGACATACCCTTGTGTCTCCCAGCTCCGACAGTAGCGCGTTGCCCAGGGTTTCACTGGCATCACAGCAATATACCATTGATGAGTGGCAGGCAGCAGAAACGTCCAACAATTATTTACTACATAAATAAATGACATTTATCAGGGACTTCATAAATTACTTTGGCAGAGCTGAAGGCTGGCGAAGAACCATTCCCGTTTCATCCACAGAGAAGCCAGAACACACCAGCACCAAGCATCTCAACCCATGGTTGCAAAGTGGTCCAGATCCCACACTCACCAAACACTGACATAATTCAGACATAAGGCCACTGAAAGCAACTGTAAACTGCAAGAGAGCTGGAACTATTTTGAGTTATAAACTCACCTCTTCCCCAAGGCACCGTGTTCCACATTCAATGCACTCCCTATGCAGTGTCCCAAAGTCTACTTCTCCTAGGAGGCTATCAGGCACTTTCCCTCCACCACCCAGCCCCAAATCGTTGCCCTTCATTCAGCATCTTTCTCCTTTGGTTATACAGATGTGTGTGCTCCTTTAGCCACACAGGCTTTGGATGCGTGCACCAAAGTCAGTTGAGCAAAGGGCTGGCTGCTGGAGATGAGCAAGAGCAGGCTGCAGAGTCCTCTTGTCCTTGGCCATGGGCAGGAATGTGAGCTTGAACCTTTGTCCATGGCATGCAAAAAAATGTGAGTGGCATTTGGTTTGAGTCCCAGGGCATATATCACAGAGAGATGGCCGTGGTGGCCACACAGATCTCACAACCATGGTGAGGAGCCTTTTGGGTCAGAGTCGGGGTCTGGGGACTGAGCGGCTGTGAGTTGGGTGCTGCGTTTCTTTGGCATGCCCGTTCCACAGGTGATCAGTACACGAAGCAGAAATGCCTCCTGCACTGTCATTAACCACACCTAGGGTTGGCATTAAATCATTTTTCAAGACATTTAGGAGTGAAGGGACGTGATTTTAGATCACAACAGACATCACTCTGCACCGGTGACAGGGGCAGGAAGATAATTATTCTTCAGCGTGCAGTTCCTGGTCCTCCCCTTTGCTATAAAGGCTGTTCTATTTATTTATTAGCCTCTCGGTGGGTATATACCGTGCTGAGCCATTTCACAAGTCCTTAATGAACAGCCACAGGCGTTGAGCACTTCACAGTGCATGGTGACCATTTGTTGTAGTGGAAGAAATGTGTGATGCTTGGACGGGAAGTGACCTGGCATGGTCTGCTCAGCACAGGCTCATCACCAGCTAATCCCCTTCTCAGAGCTGCATCTGGCCCACCCTAAAACCTCCAGCTGCGGGACCTGGATAGCCTCTTCTGGGAGATATGGGCTACAGGTCCCGTGGGAGAGCTGAATGCTGGTGGACAAGGTGTGGTGGGAAGCATGGGGTGAAATCTCTAGGCTTGTATAATGTCAGAGGGTCAGAAAAATGATGGGTACCTAAAGAAATGTCTCGGGAGCCTACCTCAGCAGTCTGCCACACATGGGAAGCCTGTCAAATGCCCATTGTGTCACAGAAAATCTTCCCTGCAGCATGGGGGTGACCTGTGCCTTCCAGGTGACTTCTAGAGGGGTGAGCTACAGCAGTCTGAACGCCAGGAGTGCGTGGAGAGCCCCCGCCAGGGGCTGGCCTGGCAGCGGTGGTCCGAGGGGAGTTGCTCTGGGACAAGCCCAGCGGTGTCCTCTCTACTCTGCCTTGGCTTTGTCACCCTTCTCCTCATCGATGGCCAGGATGCGTTCGCGCTCTTTGATCAGCTGCACTCCGCAGTAGGTGATGAACCAGATGGACAGGGTGCTGACGGGGAAACCTGGAAGGCGGAGGGAGACACGGTCACCTCGGTGTGGCATCTCGCCTAATGGGGCCAGCTTTTCTCCAGCACTTCTGCCTCTCAGGTGGGTTTGGGACATCCCACAGGCTCGTGGCCAGCACTATTTTCCTTTATAGATCCAGCCCTACAGCTTCAATGATGGAGGAGAGCAATCCCCAGGGGCAGACTTCAGATGAAGAAGTGCCTGAACTTCTTCAAGGCACCCTAGACCACGGTTAACACTGCAGGAACATGCTGGAGCTTTTCGTTGAGCATCCCCTGACCCCCAAACCTGCTTCTGCCCCTCGAGTTCAGACTCGGTGGTTGACTTTGTGTCCAATTCAACCTGCCCACACCCATCCTTGTCCAGCACTGTGACCTGCTGGAAGCTTTAGGCCCTGCTGACGCTGAGGAACAACCCCAGCCGTGTCTCATACCTGACGCGGACACATTGTGTGCCCAGGGTTTTTGTCACCTGGGTAAGTGACCAAGAGCTGGGAGCTCTCCTTCCACTCTCAGGGCCTGAGGGCATTTGTGACGAGCCTGGTATCCACAGCAGAGGGGAGACACAGGCTTTGTACCTGCTAAAACAGGACCTCTGAAATGAATAATGCGACCAGCAAAAGCCAGCTAGCTCAGCGGGCAGGCACTCCTGGCACAGCGAGCCCAGAGCGTCACATTATCCATTTCCTACGCCAGCCCTGACCCTGAGAGGGAGGAGGACACGGATTCCAGGTGGCTATTTATACTGTGAGTTGCTTGAGATGACTTCAAAATAGTCCCAGCATCTACTGGTAAGAAATGTCCAGATAATTCCGTTCATTAGGAGCCTGTGTTGCTCCAAGGGGTCAAAATCACAGCCTCAGGCTGTGCAAGGAGATGTACAAACATACCTGGGAGGCAGCTCATATCCTGGAGAGCTCATGGGAAGGGTGGGAGCTCAGAAAACCATTCCCGGTACATTTTCCACAAGAATTATGAAGGTTGTGAGCACACATATAACAAGTCAGTGGCCATACCACTTTGGAGGCAAGAGGACTTGGAAGCTCCAGACCTCAGCTCCCCTCCCAGTGTCCCCCCACCAAGACAAGGGTCCCTTGAAGGGGAAGGCCAGTGGCACCTCACCTGTCAGGAGCAGTCTCTTGGTGACCAGCTGTGCGAACTCCAGGCTGTTGAGGGCCAGGATGTTGTAGAGGACGATGGCCCAGAAATTCACCGCCCCAAAAGCCGCCCTAATCCGCCGAGACATGGCTGCTGACATCTTGGCCTAGACAGGGGAGAGGAGCAGAGAGTGAGGGGAAACGGGGCTGTAAGGAAGGGTTGCTGGTCCAGCTCCAGCCAGGCTCCATCCAGGATCTCAGAGGGGTAGGCAAAAATTAGGGCAGCCTTTAGTATCTGTGGGATGGAGGAACAAAAAGAAGGTAAACTTCTGTTCTGCTGCTGGACGCAGAAGCATTTGGCACCCTAGGCCAGCATTTTGAAGCCCTCTGTCCTCAAAAGGGGCAAGATGTTACACATGGCTTCACGCTGATTGTAATGCCTGAGTACTCCTTTCTTCATTTCTTGCCCTGGGTAAGCCTTTCTGCAAGGCAGATGAACGCTGTTATTCGCCAGGATTATTATTAGCCCTATGTGCAAATCACTCCCAGCTCCCGGTAGAAATTGTTTCTTAGGAATTAAAGGGAAAAAAAAAAGCTGAAAAGTAGTGACAGCAGCAGAGTGAAATTGTCACTGGCACATAAAATCCTCAGGAGCAGCTGCTCGGAGTGGAGCAGGGAAATGGTTTATAGCAAGCTTCAAAGAGCGTGATGAATCCCCAGGCCACTTAGCGCTGAGAGCTGTGGTGCCGCAGGGAAGGAGATTTCACTGCCTGGGAGTGCTATAATCTGATTAGAAGTTCAACGAGGAGAGCAAACAGGAGGCTTGCTCTGCGAAGTTTTGAGTCAAACGGGGTCTTTACTCAATCAGTTTAGGACCTCCAGACTTTGGGCTGGGCAAAGCAAATAAACAACGGAATTGTTTCCAGAATGGACTTCTCTCCAAATACGTCTCTGAGGCACCTTGATCCCAAACAAAAACGGGGCACTAAGCTTTGGAGCGGTTGGAAAATAATTCATTCTGATACCTAAACATTTACTTTTATCGGAAGTCAGATCAAAAGCTCTCAGAACGCCAAAATGTTTTGCAGAACAAGAAGAACAAATGATTTCCATATGGAAATGTATAAACATTTCCCGGTGGACACACCTCAGATTTTGAATCCATCTGTGCTACTTCGGCGCCTTGTCGGGGCTGCAGCCCTGGTTCTCTTGGACTTTTTTTCCCCCCCCTTTTTGAAAGCTCCACATTCAGCCTAAATTTCCCATAAAGCAGCATAGGGACTGGGTAAGGAGCATCAGGACTGTCCTTCCTTTGCTCAGCTGGGTATCTGATCACAGGGTGGATAAATTCTGTAGGAGTACCTGCTCGTAGCCCAGCTCCTCACCTCGAGCTTGGCGAAGGGCTCCCACTGGAAGAACTTCTGCACCCAGAGCTCGAAGTTGAGGCCGAAACAGTTGAAGACAGACCAGATGTAGACGATCTCACAGGGTCCCAACCACAGGGTGGTGACGGCGAACGTGGCGATGGTGGCGATGAGCTCCTTGATGATGTTGTCGTGGTTCTCTCCAATGTGGTCATACACGTACCTAATGGCCAACAAAAGTGGTTCGTGCTCCTTGTAGTCAAGGAAAGTTCCTTCTCCCATGTTTGCCCACCACAAGCTCCACACAGACAGGCCTAAAGTGCCCCAGTGAGAAAGGAGGGACGTTTTGGATGAGGCATTCTAGCAATAAATTGATTTTGCTGCAGTCCACCTACTCATGGCTCACAGTCCTCACAAAACTATAGCTCTTTAAGGAAAAAATACCACCTTTCCCCAACTCCTGCAGGTAAAATTTGATAAAATGTGGGGATTCATGTCTTAGACTTGCTGGGATGCAGCATTGGAGCACAGTGCAGCCACCACTTTCCGCACAGGTTTGCTGGTTTGTCCTGATGGCTGAAGAGAGTTGAAGGGCTGAGGGATATGTACATGGAGATCAGGCCACCCTTCTTACACAGGATATGTAAGACTTGGACTCAATTCCCCTTTCTTCCCAGTGAAATATGAATCTGCCTCTTCCTCTGGTGGAACACAAAACCCATCAGACTAAGAGTTTTCTTGGAGGGAACTCTTATTCCCAGCTATGGGTGGGCTGTTATACTTTGTTATGATTAATTAAATGGTCTTTTGAATAAACACAGCAAATCTGACTCCATTCCCTAGTGGGATTCAGCCAGAAGAGAGGACACCTCAGCTTTGGGATGAACTGTATTTAATGCTTTGTTGCTGTGTGATAAAAGAGAAGACCCCAAACTAGAGTAGAGACATTGATTAGACACTTACTTGCATAACCAGTCATTAATCCCTCTGTCAAAATGCCTAAAATACAGATGATAAAAAGCTTGTTAAAACACATGGGGCAATGACACCTCTCCATCCAGCAGTCATCCAGAGAAGGTGCCTGGTCCCACAGCAAGGCCCACCTCAAAACTCATTCAAGCTGTTCTCCATGCTCCTTCCTTGCACAGGTCCCACTCACCTCCCTCCTTACCCATTGCTCCCTGCCCAAAAATATCTCCTTGGGCTATGGCCAGGTCTAGAATTTAGGTTCAGTATAGATGGGTCAAGAGGAGGCCAGCTGCTCAGAAGCATAGCTCAGACCTCCTCATCCCCACACACATTTTATTCAGGTCAGACACGCTGCCTCTCCTCAGTGATGCCCACAGGGTACTCACGTTTCTGCAAAGACGTAGAGCATGGTGATGCATTTGGGGGGCTGGGGAGGGTCCAAGTGGTCCAGTCTGGCAATGGTGTTGGTGACCCCAAACATAACGGCAGCTTTCACCCAGTCGTAGACCAAATTGGAGTAGGCCAGGCCAGCTGGAGTAAAAAGAGGAGTCAAGCAGGTGAAGAGGAACACGGGACCTATCGCCTTCAGGGCTTTGGGGGACATCATGTCCTGTGGGACTGCGTGGTCTACTGCAACAAACATGCCATTGAGGGGACAGTCTGATGATCTCTGGAACCAACAAAGCCCAAAGAACTCTTCAAAGCTCTTGAAATTAAGTAGCTTTTTAAGAAGCTGGAACCATAGGACAACATCTTCTTGGGGTATTAGGGAGCAAAGTGTTTCTTGGTTTGATAGTCAGAAATGCAGATCTTATTTCTTCCACCACAAGAACTTTCTTCCCCTGTAAGGCTTAACCTATGACAAACTCAACACAGTTCTCAACCCTGATCTCTAAGGGTTTTATCTACACTTCTAGTTTGAAATACACCCAGCCCAGCTCCTTGTGGCTGTAGATGTAACACAGATGGTAGAGAAGAGCTAGGGCCAGAATCTCTGTCCTGGAGAGGTGTCTGACACCGTGAAATGATCCCTGCAGGAACAAACACCAAAGAATTCAAATTCCCATGCGGCAGAAGCTAAAATTCCCCATCTGGGTGGGATTCAGCTCACAGATTAAAAAAGCCACAGGGCTTCAGTGTGGGCCGTGCCTGAGCTCCCCCTGTGGACAAGGCAGATCTGGTAGACGTAGTACATGGAGCCCACAGATCTGATAAGCTCCCCTGGTGTAACACATCCTTGATCAGGTTATCTAGGTCCCTTAGGACACCCTAAATCAATGCCACTGCCATTTGAGCTGCATTAGGACTTCCCCCTGGCCTCCAGCTGCCACTCTGGAGAGACATCAGGCTCCTCCAGTCCCTGCTAGCCCTACGTGGCTGTCACAAACCCTATGACATCTCATCTGCTGCCCCTGGACATCTATTTGGGCAACTCAAATCCTCCGTCCAGCTGTCCACTGAACGCTGGCATGCTACCCATCCCAGAAGTTTGGCTTCTGGAAGTCCCTAATCCAGCCCTGAAAGAGCACAGCCAGCTTTGAACGGAGATCAGATTTTCCTGGACCTTGTCCATTTAAACGTTGAACATCTCCAGCTCTTTGGGAGAATCTGGGCCCCTATTGCAGTGTTTGGCTGCTCTGTGCAAAAAATAATCCTTAGAGGCACCCATAATCTGTTTTGTGTTGTGTTGTGCTTATTCTGTGCTGCCTCCAAGAACAGTCCACCAACAGCCCCGTTAGGTAGCTGAAGGCTACAGCCCACGCCCCAGCTCTGGGGTCATTTTGGAGGCTCTCAAACACCATGCTTTGGTACCCAGAATGGGCACCCACCAATGGGCATCTAAGGTGCCCGCTGTGCCTCTGTGGGGCTGATTTTTTTGGGGTGCTGAGCTCCCTTTCAGCCCACATGAAGGCAACAGGACTGGTGTGGTGCTCAGCCTCTTAAATCCCCGCATGGCCACTCACCCAGGGACCAGTCCGAGAGGCGGTTCACGAACTTCAGGTCCGAAGGGAGGGTGAGGATGTAGAAGAAGTGGAAGAAGATGTCCACAGCGATGACGGCCCCCACGTGGAGGAGGGCATGGACCCGAATATTCCTCATCTCGTCGTCTTTGCGCCTCAGCTCCCGGGTGCTCACCTGCCAGGCGGCAAAGCAGGAAGAGGCTGAGCTGAGGATGGGCAGTGGGTTCCTCCATCTGGAGAAACATCCGAGGTCCAAACAGGGTCTCAACGCCCTCCTTTAGGAACCCCACCATGGATTGCACCACCCAAACCTCCGTTGATAGAGGATCCAAGTGACTAGCTCAGGCCAGCACACCCACAGGGATGTGGGACACATCCCACCCAGAGCATCCCTCCAACAACCCCATGAGGGTGCTGAGCATGGCAGAACGCCTCTTGGGGAGCTCCTGTCACCATGGCAGTGACAGGTCGGGCTGCATCATAGGGATTTGAGCTGAAAACCACACCAACCAGGGAACTGGGGCTTGGGACGTGCCCAGGAAGCCAGCTTTAGGGTGGTCTTTGCACGGGTCACTAAGGGCAAGCAAATGTTCCTACCCAGCCCCATCCACGGGATGCCAGAGCCTACAAGAAAAGACATCTGCATGCCCCGGAGGGGTTGGGAGCAGGGCTGGAGTCCCAGCTGAACGCCCTGCCCGGGACAGGTGGACGTGTCTGCTTGGGGTCATTTGGGAGGAGGATGGCTGATGGTCCCTGGAGCTTTTGCTGCAGACATCTGGTATAAACGAGAGGGACAGCTGCTCGAGGGGCCATCCCAGTGGGCTGGGACCGGATCAATGGGGTTTTCCTCTCTGCTGTGCCCTTTGCAAGTATGAGCTGGGCTTTGCCTCCAGGAGCTGTCATTCCTCTGGACGTTGTAACACAAACATCACCAGAGCGAGAGCTTTTAGGATTACACTGGGCAGGCTGATGGCCTCGCTTCCCCACGTCGCTGGAAAAAAAATTGCTGCTGTATTCCAAATCCTCTTATGTTTATTGCTTTCCCTTTATGCCCTGCAAGAGGTAAGAGCTCTCTCCAAGTAATCTGCAGGCTGCCGCACCAGCCCTGCCGTCAAACCAGATGATTCCTGAGAATTAAAGCCTTTGCCAGATTTGCTTGGGTCTGCTGGATGCCGAGTGCTTTGCGGAGACAAAGAGGACACTAAACCCTGAGGCAGGGGAGAAGCCAGGAGAGGACACGTGGCTCCCACCCATCCTCACATCTGTGCGGGGTGGCAGCCCTCTGCCACCATCCCCTTGGGACTGGGGCTCTGTCCCCCACATCTCCACCCCTCCAGAAGTGAATTTCTTCTCCTAACCCCACTAAAGAAGAGCTTCTCCATCCTGGGTGGGACTGGCCAAGCCCTGGTGCAGGTGGGCTCCCACCACACGTGGGTGCAAAGCACAAGGGACCCACCACAATTCAGCAGCAGCAGGAGCCAAGGAGCCAGAGCCAGCCCCTAACTGGGCCTTAAATGGCAGCCTGGGGAAGGGACTCGATCCCCCTGCCCCTATAATTGCTTTTAGGGGGATTAGGAATGAACCTCGGCAGCGAGCTGCAGGTCCAGCAGTGCAGGGGGGCATTTAGCCAGGAGGTGGCAGTGGTGGCCAGGCCAAGACAGGTCCTAAGGGGTGGGAAAGGGTTTGGGGTCTTGTTCCTTGTGCCTTTGGGGACAGGGTTTTACGCAGCAGAGGACGTGATTCCTGATGAAGTGGCTACAAACGTCCTGGTTTGGGACTGTGTAAAAGGGGCAGGGGGTCACAGCCCCTTCAGGGGGCTTGGGCAGTGGGGCTGCAGGAGCCGTGGGTGCTTGGACTTCAGCCCGACATATAATGCACGACTGGAAAGGTAAAGCCTTAGGATGAGGTGGTGGGTGCCCCAAATGCTTCTGCCAGGGGGATGGGGAGAAGATCCCGGCCGTCCCTGCTGCTGGGAGCTCGGTGCACTGTGAGCATCCCTTATGGGGGGCACCCGAGCTGATCTGGAGAAAGTCCCTGTGGTCCTCAGGGTCAAACACGAACCCTTCTAAAGGGATCCTGCTAGACCCGAGGGATCTTTGGTGTAAGAGGATGCAGGGACTGGAGGAGCAGGTGCTTGGTTCTGTTCTTTGGGGTCTGCCCTTTGGAAAAGCCCCCTTGGCTGCCTGCAACATGTGAAAAGATTTGGGGCCGCGGGATGTTTCACGTGGATCGGAGGAAGCCAAAACACAGCCTTCTGCCCAACCTCATTGATTTCTAGAGAAAGAACCTCATCTTAAGGCACACACACACAGACCATCCCTGGAAATTCATGCTCCTTGGGCAGACCAGGCGGGTGGAGGTGTGCGACTGCCTTTGCTGTCCCAGCCAGCAGCAAGCAGAGGTCCCAGAGATGGGCACCGTGGCCTCCTGGCATTGCACAACAGGACATCAAGGACACAAGCACACCAAGCCACCATCAGAGCAAGTCCCCAGCGAGCAAAAACGTGAGCTGAGCCCTCCTGAGGGCATTAAACCCGAACAAAGAGACAAGGGAGAGGTCCCTGGGGACGCTCACCTGGGCATGGAACTGGTCAAACGTCATGACGGGCCCGAAGAAGAAGAAGGGGAGGTAGAAGTTGTACTTGAGGAGGTCGAAGATGGAGTAGATGCCCTCCTTCCTCTCGCAGCTCTCGAGCGCGAAGCTCATGCAGCGCATGATGGTGAAGCCGCAGCCTCCGTAGAAGAGGACATCTTGAAGATCAAAAGCTCCCGTTACAAACCCGCTCTGGACGAGAAACGAAGAGTTACCACCAAGGAACGTGGTGCCACTGCTGTGCTCCCTCGCCTCGCAGAAGATATCCGCGCTCTAATTACCACTAATTACCCTCTGGCACCAGCAGGCAGTGACACCTGCCACCGGCAGGAGAAAGCCAGTGCCCCGTTGCCGTTGCCTCCTGCATCCCAAGGAGGTGGGAGGTGGTAGATCCCCTCGGCCACGTCCTCACCAAGAGGCTGTGAGCCATGTAGGCTTTGTGTTGGGATGGGAACGTCACCTTTATCCTGGGGACAGAGCCCTCCAGATGGAGGAGAGGCAGCGGGAGGTGGATGGAGAGGTGGGAACACATTTTGGGAGGTGGGAACACATTTTCAGAAGGACTGAAGGGCCTTACAAGGTTCTTGCTGGGCTTCTCTCCACCCATGAGGGAAAGTCCTCAATTGGGCAGACCAAGGGGCCGTCCTGGACATCACCAAACCCACCCTAGCACCATGTTACAGGAGGGGAAACTGAGGCAGGAACGTGGCTTACCTGGGGGCAGCTGGCAAATTGTCATCTAAACAGCAAGGAGGACCCAGGCGTCCCGAGCTCTGCTTCTCCCCCGGGTTTGGGCACAGCCCAGGAGCTAAACCCAAGGAGAGGGACACGGGCGGGCTGGAAACGAGGCAGAGGGGTGGCTCAGCACCTACCTGCCAGGAGCTGAAGGGCTCCAGCTTGAAGGAGGCGAGGCAGCAGAGCCCGGCCACGAAACAGAGCCACTTCTGCTTGGCCAGGGCGACGGAGTAGAGGACGAGGCAGTGGGAGAGGACGATCATCAGGTAGACGAGCCCCATGCTACCCAGCACGGCCAGGACCCCGTAGAGCATGTACACCACGGCCCGGTGCTGCGAGCAGAGAGCCATCAGCTTGGTGAATTCTCCATCCCCTTCTCTCCCTGCCAACCTGCAGCCTCTCCCCAAAACTCCCCGGGGGATCCCAGGGCCCCCCGAGGGGCTTTACATCCCCGGCTCACCTGCGGCACCGTCATGGAGCAGATCTTGGCGAAGAGGACGTGCCCCGAGAGGGCGAAGATGATAACGTTGCGGAACGAGGTGAACCACATCACCCACTCGAAATCGGCCGCGTCCTGCGGGAGCATTGTTTCAAGAGGAAACCATAAAAACATCCTAGCCTTTTCCCCATGTCCCACCCCGGGGCTCCCGAGCACTTTGGCTTGGTGTTGAAGGCGTGCAGACCTGGCTCGTCTCGGAGCGCACAAAGCAGGGCATCGGTGCCGCAGGGCTAATATTTCCTGACTACATCCACCGCATTATTTAGGGAGAAAAAGCAAACACACAGGGGCTCTCCCAGTGTCAGGAGCAGAAAAAAAACAGCTCTGCTTTTCCAGTGGCCAGCTGGGATGGCTGGATCCTTTCTTTGCTTACCATCTTCCTGCCGAAGTAGTGCCAGCCCGGCTTGATGCCGTCCCGAAAAGCCTTTCTGTTTGCGCTGTCTGCAAAAAAACAAGAGGCATAGGGAGAGGGACGGTTCTGAGGAGAGAAGCGGGAGGTTTTTCGGCAAGGCAAGGAGCCTTCCTCACCACGTGGATGAGCAAACGGGGCTCCAACACCGGCAGCCCCCTCCTGAAAGCGCCCATGTCCCACGGACAGCCAAGAATTGGGAAATTCAACCACTTCCACCCAGCTTTTTTCCACCCTTTTGGATCCAATCCAAAGGCTCCCCAAGCTGTTAGGCACAAAAATTAAACCCGTGGCGATGCTGCCAGCAATGAGAGACCCCCACAACGGGGGGGACGTTACCTCTGGATGCCTCGAAGATGCCGCTGCCGCTGTACAGCACGGCACAGGTCACGGCCAGGGCGTAAAACCCCAGCTCGTAGCTGGGGAGCGTGGTTTTCACCCCCATGGCGATGGGTTACGGCCCCGGTTGGTGCAGGGGGTCCAGACCTGGGAAAGAAGGGAAAGAGAAGGACTAAAAGCTGCCCTCCCACCCCTCCAGAGCCCTGACTCGCTGCTGGTCCCTGCTCTGGGCTGGTAGGAGAGGAGAAGGAGCAAATGGCAACACCTGGGGGCAGCTCAGGTGTAGGGGATGAGGATGCCACACCACAAAACCCCCCCAGAAGCAAGGATTTGGGCTCTTTCCAGCAAGTCGTGTCCATCCCCATGCCTGGAGATGCTACAGACCCCCCCATGATGGGGCACGTCCAGCATCAAGCCAAATTTCTCTCGTTTTCCCCCAGGATCAGGCACAAAATGCCCACCCGGAGGGGCCACGGTGAGATGCTCCCATTCCCAATTATCAATGAGGGGCAAGGGGGGGGCTCCTAAAGCCCTGGGCTAATTACTCCCTTCAGTGCTAATTAACCCAGGCACTGGCAATGCTTTCCCACGACAGCTCAGCAGCTCCTGAGGGTCGGCAGCTGCCAAAATCATCCTTTAGGGGCTGGGGCAGATGGAAGGGGGGGGGGACAGGGACCTGTCCCCACCACCTGGGTGCTGCCACCCCCCCCGCTGCCATCCCCTGTAAGCTGCTGCTGGCTTAAAGAAAGAAAAAAAACAGTCGGGTGCCCTTCTGCTCCCCCATCCTCATTGGGAACCCTGCTAGAGAATTTGGGGTCGTGCTTTCGGCCGCTTGGAAAGGGGGGGCCCAAAGAGGGGGGGGGGTGAAGCCAAGCTGCCACCGCTCTGCAGTCCCCTGCAGCGGGGAGGAGGGGGGGGGCGCTGGGGGATGCGGCTTTAAAGGGCTTTTGTGGTTTTTATCCCTTTGCCACGCTTTCCAAGGCTTTTTTTTTTTTTTTTTTGCTTGTTTATTTATGTACTTTGCGGGGGGGGGACACAAGGTCAGTTCTTGCAGCCAGAGCGCAGCTTCCCCCCCCCCCAGCTGCTTCAGGGGGGGCACCCATGGGGGCCCGCAGCATCCTCACCCCCTTCCCACAGCAGGGACCACCCCAAAAGCTTGGCCTTTCCCCCCCCCCCCTCCTCCAGCCCCATGTCCCTCCCCATTACTGACCTTGAGCCCCGGGGAATGGGGGGGGTCCAGCGTCCCGCACCGCGACCTCAGGGCTTGGGTGGGGGGGGGGACACACCAAAGGGTAAAAAGTGAGGTGGAAGGGGGGGGAAAAATTAAAAAAAATCAAGGCAAAGCTTTGGGGGCCCTTGGCTTCCCCTAGAGCATCTCTCAGCTCGGTTGGGTGTCTTTTGGGGTCTCCAATCCCCCCCCCCCCGGTGTGTGCCCCCGAAGGAAGTTTGGCCGGGAGTGGAGCGCGGCAGCGGGAGGTATTTTTATTTTAGAGCAGCGCTGCAGAGGGGCTGGTTCAGGAGCTGTCTGTCACCGGCAGCTGCCGGAGAGGACCCGCTGCTGGCTGCCAAAAGCAACCCAAGCCAGGTTTGGGGCTCTGCTCCCAAATCCTGAAGGGTTTTGGGTATGGGGAGACACCCCAAAGCCCCGCGGGTCTCTGCGAGCACAGGGGGAAACCGAGGCACGGAGGTGAACGGCGCAAGCCCTCCCCGGTTGAATTGGCCCCGAGCTCCTCTGGAGGTTGTGATGCCTCTGGAAAAGCTCCTTTTGGGGTCTTCTTCAGCATCTGTAGCCGAAATGAGGGGTGTTGAGGGGCTGGGTTGGGTTGTGGGCTCTGTTATTTTGGGGTCGGCCGAGGGCAAGGCAGGCCCAGCTCCGTTGTCTCCTGCCAGGCTCCTGCTGCCAAGGTCCTGGGAGGTTTTGGGGGAGTTCATGTTGGGGCTGACGTCCCTGAACATCTCCTGGGGGAGAGAAACGGGTTGGGATTTTATGAAAAACCCCACAACTTGTCTGATTTGGGGTGAGTCGAGGCGTGTTGTGGGCTGCAGAGAGAGGAACTGCAGCATGGGCCCCCCTCGCTGAGGGGCTCCTTGTCCTGCTGGAGGCTCCCCGAGCACCGAGCCCCCCATGGGGTGACACTGAGGACCCCAAAGAGCCCCAGCCTTCATCCGGAGACAACAGTCTGGGAGTCCGTGGGATCTTGTTTTGGGGTGTGTTGGGGGTCTGGGGGGCTCCTGGGAGTGGATCCCAGATTTTATCCCAGTGGAGGGCAAGAAGGAGCACGGCCCCATAAAATATCCGAGTGGGAAGGGACCCCCAAGGGTCATCGAGTCCAGCTCCTGGGTCCCCAAAGGGCCACCCAAAAAAACAAACCATGGATGAGAGCAGTCCCCAAATGCTTCTTGATCTGCTGTCCCCAGGGCTCCCCGTTCCCCAGTACAAGACACGTGGTGTACTCACATCCAGAGGGCTTGTGGCTGATGATTTATTTTATTTTATTTTATTTTATTTATTTATTTATTTATTATTTTATTTTTTATTTTATTTTACTTTATTATTTTATTTTACTTTATTATTTTATTTTTATTTCACTTTATTTTCATTTCACTTTATTTTTACTTCATTTTATTTCGTTTTATTTCCTTTTATTATTTTTACCCAGAGTAATTTGTGAGCTTGCTGGACGAGAAGTGTGACAGAGGTGCTGGGCCGTGCGGCAGTTTTTCACCAGGCTCTGGGAACGGCGGTGATAAAAATCATTTAGTTTTAATTAATAGAGAGTATAAAAAATTAGGATTAAAAAAAAATGCTCTTGATTTCTAATATAATAAGATTTATTTTTAATGTGACCAGCGTGCCTTCCTCGGCACGGGGGACACCTCTGTGTTTGATTGCCCCAGCACTGCTGCTGTATGGCTGAGGGTTGTTTATGGCCTCGAGCTGATTTTAATGATGTTTTTTGACGTCTGGCAGGTTGCTGGAGGCTGTGGCCCTCTTCGGTGTCCAGGGCAGCAAGCAGGAAGGCGGTGGGGTTGAGTGAAAGGCACCCAGCTCCATCACGGTGAGGCACGGCACAAACATGGTGTAGGTTGGGTGTTAGGAAGAACTTCTTTACCAAAAGGGTTTTGAGGCATTGGGATGGGCTGCCCAGGGAAGTGGTGGAGTTACCATCCCTGGAGGTCTTTAAAAGATGTTTAGATGTTGAACTGAGTGATATGGGTTAGTGGAGGACTTGGCAGTGTTAGGTCAGAGGTTGGACGGGGAGATCTTGGAGGTCTCTTCCCACCTAGGTGATTCAGCTGGAGCGGCTCTTTATGGGGTGAACTGGAAGGAAAAAGGGTTATAATAAACCACGTGGCTGTTGTATACTACCTGAGGTACCCCCTTGGGTTTGCCCATGCACATACACTGCCGGGAACGTGCTGCAACACCAGGACCTCAGCAGGCACCTCCCTGCTTGGATGGTGTGGGAGAAGGCAATTTGGGGGGCTCCATCCATCCTTCCAACCCAACATCCCCTTCAGCCCCCCACCTTTAGCCCCTCTCACTGGGAGCCCCTCTCTCTCTCCCCAGAAAGCCCAGCTAACGATTCTTGCTGACAAACGAGCTGCTCTAAGCCCCAGGAGCTCTCCCCATGCCGGCAGATGGGATTTGGAGCCTTTGGTCTGTAAGGGGAGCCGCGTGGGGATCGAGGTGGCATTTGCTGCACGGGGCCGCCCTGTCCCGCGGGATCGGCCGGCTCGCAAGCTGGGCTCGGCGGGGAGAGGATGAGGGGAGAAACCCAACACCCCTCTTGGCTCCTTGGTGGCTTAATTTAGAGCCCAGGGGCTCTGCTACGGTGTTTTTCCATTTAAAGCCGACCCTCATTCATCGGTCATGCACGGGGCGATGGCCCCGCCGCTTGCAGGGCAGTAGCAGCTGCTGGCTGTAAGCTGCCGAAGGGGTGGGCAAATCTGCAGTGCCCCTTCCTCCTGATTTCCCCCCTGCAAAGGATTTAAACGTCTCCTCCTCACACCTCGCCCTGCTCTGGAGCTTTTCCAGCCAGCCCCCAAAAGGCAAAAGCCCCGAGGGTTGGATGAGTGGGGCACGCAGCGCTCACAGCCCAAATTCGTGGCTCTAAATCGGAGCAGTTACAGTGGGATCGGCTCCGACCCAGCAGCTGATCCTCCAGCAGAGCCCAGGGCACGGAGAGCTCGCGCGTGTCGATGCCGTCTATATTTAACCGTGCTAATGCAACTTAATTCACGTTGCGGCCAGCTGGTTCCGTAGGCTGCCCTCTTGCCATGCCCGCTGCCCGTAGGTAGGCTTGCTCGCGACAGCCCGAGAGGAAAATGCTGACAATTAATCAAAGGTCATGGGGCTTTATTCCCGGCGGCTCAGCTGCGCTTTTAAAATCTGGCTGCATCCGTCAGGCACTTTCTGGCTGCTCCGTGGAAGTGCTCTGCCCAGCTCCGGGGCAGGAGATGACCTTTGGCTCAGCCCGAGCGGTTGGAGGATTCGTGCTCTTTGGCTAAAAGCTGGCTGAATCCTAGCGGAGAGCATCCACAGCCTCAAATACCTGCAGCAGAATTAACTGAGGCTGTTCTTCGCAGCTTAACTGCAGCCACCAGCCTGCGTCAGCAGCACGGAGCGTTGTCACCGCCAGCTCACCCCTGCCATCAACTACGAGGCTGAAAAAACTCAGAGCTTAGCAAAAAGCGACCCGTGACACGGCTTTATGCTGCATGAAGGCTGTCCCGGAGAGAAGATGCTGGATACTCACGCTGCTTTTATCCAGCAGAGAAAGGCGTCGTAACGGCTGGCTGCAAACTGAAGCCAGAGAAATTCAAGTGAGAACGAAGGCAGGGGGATTCTCACAGGCTGGCACTTACCCACTAGGAGAAACTTTCAAGGAAAGCAGGGGATTTTGGAGGTTTCAGATCAAGCCCAGCTGCATCTCTAAAAGAAATGTGGCTCAGGCAGCACATCAAGCTTGCTGGGGAGATTCTGTGGCTGGGGACCAGCAGGAAGGGTTTTTGCAGGGAGTGACACCGATATTCTCACTGGTTTTGGCTTCTGGGTGATGGGTTGGGAGATGTGGGGCCGCTGCAGCCAGCTGGAATAGGGCTGCTGCTTCGAAGATGTGAGTGGGCTTCTTAACTTCAGTGACAGAACCATGTGCACTGGTAGGAACTCGCACTCATACCTTGAAAAACGGGAATTGGTTGCTGCAAGAGTCAGCACAGAGCGAGTTCAAAGTCAGGTCTTACAGGTATGGGCTCCCTAAACAAGCCATTTCATTGTGACTTTCTGTATCCTCCTTCTTCAAGGCACCCTGTGGTTGTGTGTGTGACTGAAAAAAAGGGAGAAAATGCTTCTGTGCAACCCCAAACAAGCATATGTTTAAAGAAACAAGTGTTGCAGCACTTGTGAAGAAGTTTGCACCATGTGCTAGCGAGCCATATGCGTTCTGTACCATACAGCACTCCCGTTTCTCTCTGAGTTCCCTGGGTTGCCTCAGAGCCACCCCAGGAAGAATTTTGCTAGGGAGCGGTACGATCGTCACTGCTGCAGCACAAGGACAGGAGACAGATGCTGACGGGGTGTTGGGAAGGATGGCAGCTTTCCCCTGGTGTCCTTACGGGGAAATATTATCGATTCACACTTCTGTGTAAGCGAAATCAGAGTCCAGCTGCGAGCTGCCAGCCTGAGTGTAGCAGCTACCACGTACCAAAGGTGCCTGGTGGGTTGCAGGATGTCTTTTGCTCTAATGTTCCTGGCAGGAGGCATCTGGCAGCGAGCAGTTTTGGTCCTGCTTGTTCGAGAGAGGCACCTGGCAGCTCTGCTCTGCTTGAGCAGGGCTCTAAAGCACAGGCAGGGTGCTGAGCATCTCGCCTCCATCACCTCCATCACCTGTGACCTGTTTGAAGAGACAGCTCCGGACCTAAGCAGGAGAAAGACAGGAACCACATGGCTCTGACCACATCTGGAGTAACTCCTGCTCCGCTCCCTCTCTGCCTTATCTCATTGCAAGCGGAGTCAGAACCCAACCCCGATGCTGCGGTGCTTTGCCCGTCCCCAGCCCCACCCTGTGCTGGTTGGGGCTGAAATCCGACAAACTTCGTGCTCGCACAATGGGGCAGAGAAAGCAAAGCAGAAAGAGGAGTGCTTTCAAAAGACTTTCATCTGAAAAACAAAGCGGCTCTATTCCGAAATGACTAGCTCTCCCTTTGCTTGCAGTCCCCAGGGCTGGCTCTCTGCTGGCAGCCTGCATGTTAATGCCTTATTAGCTTGCGTTTGGTGTTCTCACCGCGCTGCAAGAGAAAAGGGCGAGATGCGAGAGTTTTCAGCACCTCCAAAAGTCCCTCCTCCACTGTAGGAAAAACGTGCTGGTGTTCCACTAACCTTTCTTCCTAATGAGAACAAGATCTGCCTGATGCATGCCTGCAGAGACCCAGAAATTTGGGAACTGATAAGCTGGATGGCAAGTTTCATGTGAGCTCGATTTAAGGTAAGTCCTACTGATTGTGGGAGCAATCTGCCCAGTTTTCCTTTCCAGTGGAAACTGTACTGAGCTTCAGAAAACTCTGCCAGTACGTTCAAGCAAAGAAATAAGCTGGGATTGTCAACAGAGACCACCCAAAATGCTCCTGCAGATACTCATATACCAGGCTAACGCCCTCCCTCAGCACTTAAGCACTACATAAAACCCCAGAGGGGCAGGTGTCAGTGTGCAGATACACAAAGAACTCAGTTTGTTCTTGGCATGGCTTTGGAAGGGGGCTGGCATATCTTGTGTACAGCAAATTCCTTCATGTGCTGATAAAAGCGGCAGCGTAATGAGTATTGAGCCCTCTCTAGGAAAATTCATTTGAAACTAGGGAGGTTTTGCCTAAAATCACACCGCAGAAGTGCAGCTTCCTAAAGTGCACCGAACTATGACATGTGCAGCCTGAGAGCCAGCTGCTTGCTAACTCAGAATCCGCTGACATGCAAAATCTTCAGTCTTTTTGTATTTAATTTCCATTTCTCATCCTCTCCTGCAAATGCTGACGACACGACATGATCAGAGGCTGCAAAACTCCACTTCCACTGCATTTCAATCCGTGGGCACGCTGCCTGGGCTCTCTCTCTCCCTGCTCTGCAGTCCAAAGGACTCTGAGTATCTTCCTTAACTCTTCTCCTGTTTCTGCTGCCAAATGGCCTGTAGAAAGATATCCTTCACTTGGTCCATTGTGTCCTGGTAGAGTTTAAAGTCTTCCTCTTTCTTTCTCACAGTAGTCTCCAAAGCAGCCTTCAGAGCTTCGTTCTCATCCAGCTGGATCACGAGCCTACGAGGAAACAAAAGGCAACTTTCATGTGAGCTGTGGAGCTTCAAAGCAAATTAGAACAGTGCTTCAGCTCCAGGGAAGAAAACCCTGAAACACATGCTCTCTGGTAATTTTATAACAGGCTTGAGAAAGAGCAGACTTATAAACACTTGTTCCTTCTCTCTTTGAGATAGAAAAGGGTATTAGAAGACCAAATACTTTTCAGATGTTTCTTTAAAATTGTAATTTTGTTTTCACTAATAGCTTGGAATCAATGGCTAGGGAAAGAAAAATAAAAAGGAAAAAGGTGCCTTTCTTGCAAGTGTTTTGTGCTGCTCAACACTGGCTTAACATTTCTGGGTGTAATTTTTAGGAAAGTTATGTAAGAAGGACATAGACAAGAACAAACCAGAGGATCTGTGACTTGTACAATTTACTGCTTTTTATTTTCTGAGGAGCCGGTCCAGGTGACAGCACTGCTACGAGGACAACAATGAATCTGAATTATTGAGTTATTGAAAAAATGTGGCAGTAACACAGTGTGGAGGAAGGGAGAACGTACCTCGTGCTCAGCTCCTCGACCTGCGATTCCAGAGGCAGCCTGGAGAGCTGGGCTGCAGAGAGCTCCTTCCTATCACTCATGTTCAAGGTGAGTCTTGAGTGACTGGCTTGGCCTGTAGATTTCATCACAAAATGGAGCTTTAGTAAAACAATCTTTTTCACTTGGTGAGGCATCGAGTAAACCTCAGGAAATAGTGAATAAATGTTAGGGAATCTGCTCGGTTCTCTGGATATCCAAAAAGATGGTGTAAATATATAGGATATACATTTTACCTTAATCTCCTTTTAGCAAAAGTAAAACATGAGGTAGTAACGTGTATGTTTACCTGGACAGAAAAGTAAAAAAAGACCATCCAAAATATTTAAGGGTCCCAAACAACAGGTGACAGAAGCAGTTAGAAAGTATTATTTTAACCTTTATCTCATTGTATTTCATTCAAGCTTATGACAACTGTTCCTTACTGAATGCCAGGCACATGTGTGGCACACTCTAAAACAGATTTTTTAAAGCACTTTTTGATCCTCAGCATACACACAATGTAGGTTAAGTTCAGTAAAGCAATTAAATATGCCCTTCAAACCGAGACTGTAAATCAAGAGTGCTCTCCAGAATAAAGCTCTCTCAGAACACGCCATTTCAAATGGACACAACAACTTCTTCCAGGGTTATACAGAAAGGGTTATAAGAAAATATCTCAAATTTTACTACTGGGCTTGGAGAGTCAACACTGTGACTGCTCAAGGAATCCCTATAACAGAAGAAGGCTCAGAGAGGACAGGCATGGATGATGTGCTCACGAAGATCAAAAAAGAACGTAGGAAGCAACCACAGCTATCGTGAGAGAAGCTGAACTTATCTCAACACCAAGGGGACTGGAGGGTAGCCTTTGCTGTAGATAAACAGCTCTGTCAGTTGAGCAAATGTAAACAGCCTTCCCTAAAAAAATCCACAGAAAGTACTGGCTCAGCCCAACACAGAATATAAAAATCAACCAGCACACCAAACCTTGAAGAGAACAATGGGCTTGAGCTGGCTTCAACTCACGTATTTCTTCCTGGCAAGTGGGGGCACTCAGCATCCTGACACCCAGAGCAGTGGCAGGAATCATGTTTGTGATTCAACTGCGCATTGCAGTCGCTATATGGTGCCCGTGTTGTGATTTCAGTACATTGCTGACGTATTTTTTCTAAATTAAAAGACGTCAGACATTTTTTCTAAATTAAAAACCCACATATCGCTAAATATCTTCAAGTAAATTTGCTAATAAAACATCAAATCCTCCTCACGTGGAATATATGAAAGAACCTGGTCAGAAAGAACTACAGTCTGACAAAACCACGTGGGGAGAAAGGTCATGTTGTATAACAAAGAAATGCTTTTGAACTCGATGTTGTGTTCCACAGGACTGAGGAAAACCTGCTTTTACTTACCCATTCTCCTCTGGGATTATTCTTTGCTAATTAAAAATTTGGATGAGACAGAAAAAAACAAACAAACAAACAAAAAGCACAAATAATATTAAAACACAACTGTGTTGTTTCTAACTACTCAGCATCATTATCTACTTCCCTTGCACTGAGGAGACTAGAAACATTAGATTAGTAATTAGATCAGCTCTCTCCAATTTTGCACTTTCAGAAAGAAAAGAAAATATTATGTTAATTAGTGGCTTCTCTAGTCTCTATTTTATGTTCAAGCCTTTCATTCCTTCTTATTTCCTCAACTATCTGGCATGAAAGCATTTAGATAACCTACATGCTCTGCTGAAGGGATGTATTACAGATTTCTAGACTTGTTTCTTGTACAAACTCCAGAGAATTTTGGCACGTTACAAGGGGCTGGGCTCTCTTCAAACAACTGCAGTGAAAGAGCCTGTTACCTACTCATCTTACAGCCTCTCAGAGGATTTCTTCTTGCTAGTCTTCTTGCCAATCCTTTTCTACATTTGCTTTTAGTCCTCAAGCAGACAAGGCTAATGAACTAAGTATTTAGTTAGAAGGAACCTGTCGTGGTGGTAGGAACAATTTGCTTCCTCCAGCTAGGAAATGCCAGTCTCTCAGAGGTGAGTTACCAAACTGTTACAACAATTTGATCCAAATGGCTCGGAATCTGACGAGTTCATCACTACATCAATTTGAGGTTGCGAGGGAAATCTAAGCTGGGCACATGCAGAATAACAGAATAGCACATCAAAGCTTTGCACTACCAGGTTGTATAAAAGATTAAGCTCAAAATACCAGCTAAATTCTCCTCTAGGAGACAGCACCAAAATGCCCCTGTACTATTTAAGGCAGGGAGTCAGAGGAAAAAGCTTGTGATTGATAGCTGTATTCTCCAAACTCCCACCTGCCTACTACCTCACCCCGCGTACATCCTAATTTCTTCCTCAGAAGAAACGAGCTGAGAGCTCCAAAGTGCCTTACATCTAAACCCTACTGGGAATCCTAAGTGATATCACCCAATACCACTTCTGCAAGGCCCAGCACTGCCCTTCCACCGGGATGAATGTCCCATATCCTAAAGCCCACAGGCTGCAGCACTTGGCTTCTGAGCACTCTTCTAACATCGTGCTGGTCACTGAACTGCAACTCTCTGTTTTGTGGGGCAAGTCTCTGCGAGGATCAAAGTTTTTCTGCAGTGCCTTTTCTGTGTCAGGCTCTCAGCTAACACAGGTAAGGCAGCGCTAAAAATCAGTGGTTTCAGAAAAAGAAATAAGTCAGTGCTGGCTGGGGCCCTTGTCAAGGACACAAAAGTTCAGAATTGATGGATGTTTTATGGAAAGAAGTAGGTTTTAAGCAATCTTTCAGTATACCTGCAGGACAAAGCTCCTCTGCATCCTGTTCCTGCATACCTGGTTCTCTGTATTCCAGATGGGTGAATGGCAGTGCTTCACCTGAGGTCCTGAGCAGCTTAAACTGGGGAACCTCACCCTCCTGTGTGAATTGAGACCAAAGTGAACAGCACCAGGCATTTTTTTGGCATCACTGTGCTGCTCCAGAGAGGTTTTATTGCCAACCACAGCACGGTGATGGGAGTTGCAAATGCAGTGCAGTTCGAGCAGCATTTCTTACCTCGCCTGAACTGCACCTAAGAAGAAACGACACTGGTGCACGTGGAAAGGGAGGTGACTGCTCATACAGGTGCTCAGTACAGAGCTGTAAGAAGCAGATGAGGTAGGATGGGTACACACAATAGGAAAAAGCCACACCACGCATCTGCTGCACTGTGGGGCTGTTGTCCTACAGCCAAAGATCATGTGTTCCTGCGTGGGGCAGGCCAAGAGCACGTACAAGCTCTGTTATGAGGCTTGTGACCTCTCCAGTCACCATAACTCACTCTGATGCCATCCCAGTATTTGCCAAATTAAAATGCTTATTACTACTGTTCATCTCCTGGCATTTAAATTCCTTTTACTTTATGAAAATGCGTATAAAAAGGGAAGCCACTGGAAAAGTTTCCTTAAGAATATGTACCATTTTATTGGTTTAGACACCTTACAGAATCAGAGTCCTTAAGTAATAAAAGAATCTGATCAGAGAAATAAAAATTTAACATCCATCATGACTTCTCCTCCTTTAACTATGCTAGTAAGGCTTTCATATTTATAGCAGGAGATTATCATGTTCACAGTGTAATAAATTACACCAGATCTAATTACTACATCACCAGCAATACTTTTTCATCGACACTGACAGGCCTTAAATTGGGATGCGTCCTTTAATTCTGCTCTTAACCTTCAGATGAATCTCTCAGGCAGAAGTGTAAAGGGAACACAGCATGGTCACTGCAGACACGCAGAACGGTGTCAAGTTCCTTCTGTAGACCATCATCCCGTGAAAACAACATAATGCAAAAGTCCTGGTCCCACTTAAATCTGTGTCAGAGCCCTCTTGAATTAAGTGGGGCCAGGATTTCACCCTCAGTATGAGCCCACTGCTCTGAGCAGGTCCAAATCCCTGTGTGTAAGGTCAAGCAATCGTGTAGGATTGAGAGATGAGAGCCCAAATATTGCTGCTATTAACCACCGGGGTGGGATGGGGGACATAGCTGTGGGTAAGAGCTCCACCTCACCTGTTTTGCCCCTCAGAGGAGGTTTCTGTGTACTTGTGTTCCTCCCAGGATCCATTTGTAGTTTTTCAAGCTGCTGCTCCAAAAGGACACATCGCCGCCGCTCTTCCTGAAGCCTCTTCTCAACTTCCAAGACTTTATCACTGCTTTCCTCCACCCTGATATGCAAAAAAGGTGATTCAAGCTTATTTATGTCCTAAGTATAAAGGATCAGCCAGTCTTAAACACTGAATCCTACTCCGTAGCTCCCAGCAGAGGGAACAAGAAAAGTTTCCATGCATGCAAAGGCAGAAATCCCAGTGCAATTCTTCCAGATGACATCCTCTACATTTGCAAAACAGAATTAACTAATGAGTATAATTATAAATAATAGGTTGGCTAGTGGAGGTTGCCTAGATCCCTTAACTCTGCCTAAATTTCCCACTCAGATGAGCAGCCAAGCTGCAGATTGCTGAGGGGAGATCTTTTATTAGAGGAATACTAACTGCATCTTTTTAAACACTGGGAAGAATTTGGAAGGAAAATAGTTTATAAAAACATTGTCAAGCATTTAGCTGTTCTGCGTCAGTTATCTGCGACGTTGCTTTTAATAAACTTGGCCGTGAGACACTACCGTGGAAGGAAGCGAGTGGAAGAGATTCAATAAGGGAAGAGCAAACTACCTGCCTGTTCACCTCACGGGACACCTCAGAAAATCAACTACAAAAGTTTGATGTGCACCCACGGATGTATTCAGGGAGTAGAGCCTGACACCAAATGATTTAGAGGAATTTAAAGCTAGGAGGAATCTTGAATTGACCGACACACTGTATTGGACAATGCAAACACAAAAAAAATCCTCCCTGGCCCTATGGGTGATAGCTGATTACTCCCTGAATCAAGAGATTTGATTAGTCTTATTCCCCTCCTAGCTGGCAGAACTAAAAAAAAATATTACAGCTCTAATAAAATTATATCACTGTCTTAAAAGTCTAGCTACAGGCAAGGCTCCAACCTCCTGTGGCAGTGAATTAGCAGGCGGGTGACATGCTATGTGAAATTATATTTCTCCTCAGTGGTTCTGAATTCATTAAACTTTCGTTTGACCAGGTGTTCCCCTAGCACCTGCGTTAGACAAACAGTGGAGGAAAAATGACAGGACTCGTTTTTTATGAAATCTTCTGCCAATATGTGCAGCAAACTGAAATCTTGCTCTAGCTCTTTCCCTTCCTCAAGCAGGGCCCGATCCTACAATCAGTCTACAAGCGAGTGTCTTCTGACAGCATTTTCTGCTCTGCGGTGAGTGGCTGTGAAACACGGTCGTAAATTCTGGCAGCTGCTGTAGGAAAATGCTACTCTCATAACCATTCTCAGAGCTCTTCTCTTGGCTTAAGCAGTATGTATGTTCCTTGAGGTTTGTTGACCTGGACTCCTACATGGGAAAGGAAGGGGAGGAACGCCTCACTTTTTTTTAACATATATTCATGTTGAAATATGAGTGGATGCTACATTATCCTGAGGTCTTCCAAGAATTATTGCACACAATCTCATAAAATGTACTTTACCTGCAGGAGCTCTTGATAAATGTGTGATAACCGTGGAGCTGCTGAATCATCACTCTGTGGCACATTTTACTAGGAACTGTGCATTTCATTAACTCTGCGTTCTTCATTAGCCCATATTCACAACGGCCCCAGTTCAGAAATCACTCAGACCTCTGTCCTTACCTAATTGCACAGCTCTATTAGTCACTGGGCTTACAGACCTGAATAAAATGCACATTTCTAGGATTTAGCCCTTAAAAGCACAGGGGATGATACCTTTACCACAGTTTTAAAAAACACACTTTTCTGATTGTGATTAATTAAAAGTTAGATAAATGCAAGATGCATTGAGATAAAGCAATCAAGCAAATAGAACCTATTGTATTCAAATATACCCAGACAAAAATGTGTCTTCCTATAAGCTGGAATACAGATTTGGGAATCAAATCATGTTTAAAGCAAAGTGTCTAGCTAGGAAAAAGTCAGTAGCTGAAAGGTGTCTAAAGATAAAAGGCTTTGCTTTTTCTTCTCTCCCAAAACCTAGCTTGATTTTAACATTGTCTTAAATTGAATTGAATAACGGGAACAAATGTCACCGTTATGCTTCAGTTAAACCAGAAGAAATTCATTTAAGAGAGGATACAGTGAAACTTAAAAGAATGTGAAAAGCTTCTGGAGCAGAAATCAGATTATAACTCTAATTGCAGTATTTAGTATTGGTGAATAAAATTGCTGCCTAAATAACACCACGCATACATAAATATACCAACTCCAGCTTTATCTGAGTGTAGCAAGCTTGAAGACGACTCAATTTTTTCTGCACTTTGTTCTAAAAGAATTTTAAAAAAATGAATCATGAAGTAGGCAGTGAAATTGAGCAGAATAATTTCAAACGCCCCTATTTAAGGCAAATTTCACAGTGGCAGAGTGCAGCATACCGGACTGCACGCTACAGACTCTCACACGTCTCAGCTGCTCCTTCATCACAGCATCCTACAAAGGGCACGGGCAGACTCAGGCACTACCTTTTCTGCAGCACAGTGACCAGTTCCAGGAGCCTGTCTCTTTCCACTTCAGCAGCCTGGCAGAGAGCCTTGTGCTCTGTGATCTGCGTCTGCAGCACTTTGAAATCCAGGCTGTCGGTGCCAGCAAGCCTAAAAGCAGCAGAAGCGCAAAGAGTCTGTTTCCCATTTCACGAATGAAAGAAATGAAACAAAGACAGCCTTTGAAAAAAACATATCAAAATACACTTCTGAAGCCCGAGCCAGAACACACAGCCAGGCTCACTGACTCCCCCCAGCATCATGCTTGATACTGCAACACACGGAATAAAAATATGTGGAAAAAAAGCCACTCTGAGTTTCACTAGAAAGGCCTTTCCCCTTGCAATGATGCTCTCCCTTCCCATCACCCTCGAAAACAAACTTCCCGCACCGAGCAGTTCACCAGCACTTGATTCGCCTCTTACTGCTCCTGCCAAAGAGAAGCCTGCACGTGGATTCTCCAAAGTGCTGCGCTAAGCTATTAAATGGCATGCTATTGATTTTCTTTAACTGAAAGGCTTCAGGCAGCATTAGTAAAATGGTTATTCTTCTGCTGAGTAGGTGATGAAAGGAAGGGGCAATTTTTCCACGTATCCCATTACTATGTACTTCATTTCTTCTACCTCTGCACGGAAATATTCAAGAATATTTCCGTTAGAGCAAAAACCAGGAGAAATCCTGGTGGCTGGGGATGACAAAAGGGGAAAGGGGGATTTATGGGGCATAAAACTAGCAATCAGTTAAAAAATTAAGACAGCAAGGAGCCACTGCAGCCTGTGCCAGAACCCTTTGACAGTATCATGCAGAGGGGATGGTAAAAGAAGTTGTTTGTTCCTGAAACAAGGCTGAGGGCTGCCAGCAGCTTGTGGAGTGTTGCAGGTTTCCTCTCTGGTTTGTGATGAAGTTTATATACGTACCTTCCAGGTGGGATGTTATTGCTGAGAAGGGGAGGCTGAGTGGCTGCCGACTCTACGAGCATATGGCCCATCTTGGACACTGTGCTACAAGGGAGAAAGCTCTGTTAAACACTGAGATCTACAAAGGGCAGGTTCTCACACACACATACACAGCAGCTCACCTTGCTCTCTGTCCCCAAAACGCACTGCAAAACCACGTTGCGTGTCCCATGTACAAATATTAAAGCTCGGTTTTTGATCGCTGTGCTTCTGGAGGCACTTTGCTGGCCCTCCACACCAGCATTTGGAGCTGCGTGTCACAGCGTGCGGATGTGGTGAGCAGGAACAGCTCTTGACCCTGCTTGGCTCAAGCAGAACATGCAAACAGCCACAGCAACAGCCAGTGCTGCTCTGTTTCCTCACGGGCACTGCCTCGGACCCTCACATAGAGCACTCTCATCAGACACCCCCTAGGACGTGAGCCAAGGACAGGTTACTGGGTTTCTTTGATGGTGTTTGCGTATCGCTTGCTTTCCTAACCAACTGAACCCCTGTTCTGCAGCAAAGCGCAGACCTTTTCTTTCTAGATGTCTTTTAAAATATATATTTTATAGTTTTTTGAACTCTTCTGCTCTTAGGAAGATCTGTCAGACTGCTAATACTAGAGTACCACTTCCAGCCTGGATGAGTTTTATGCATCTGTGTGCTTGGGACATAAAATTCCAGTGTTTGTTTTCCAGTCTTGAATTCAGCTGCCCAAAGGCAATTCCCTTTTCCTTGCCTTTGTATTTCCTTGCCTTTAAGCTGCAGCTAACAGAGGATAAAGCTTGATATTGTGGACCAGGCAGAGCTGCCTTCTAGGCTGCGACTGGTTAATCCATCCTAAAATCAAGTAAAGGTTGGTAATGACGGAAGAGGCCCAGTCTAAAAATGAGGATTTTTACTCTGACATCTCCAAGGGGCTTTAGCTCCTATTTATAGCATTTTTCATTTCATCTTTCCTGATAGGAAAAGATGATTCACTAAAGCAAAATGGAATAGAGGGTTCATCAGCATATTAAAGTTAATGGAATGAGTGAGCCCTGATGACCAAATTATTAACGGCTCTTGCAGTTTTCAAACTCTTTCACCGCCCATCTGACACATCAGACATTGTCAGGACAGAGCTATGTCAGTCACGAACACAAGAAATAATTTATGCATTGCATTTATGGGGTTCTACAAAGCCCATACCCAGCCTAGCTTTCCTTCTCACCCTCCTGCTTACTATCAGCAGACATTTGAAGTAATTGGTAAAAGGAAAAAAAAGTGGATAAAATATAGATTGGCACAAGAGCACGTCTGTGGAGTTGGAAGAGGGAGAGTAAAGTCAACCACTCTGCCAAGAAAACTTGCAGATAAGTTCTAACCCTCATTCCAAAACACTCCAAAGAACATTTCCTACATTTTGTAGTAATGTTCTCAGACTTAGGGATACATCTGACAATTTTCAGGCCAAGCTCAGTGTCTAAAATAATATGGTAGGCTAGTTTAAATTCCATAGGAGAAATTAGTTGTAGCTTTAACTTGGTAAAAGAATTAAAAGAATTTCCTCCTTCCTCAGAAGGCCAGTCTCAACTCCTCATTGTCAATTTGACCACAAACTCGTTAGCACCAAACCCTGTGTTTTAACAGGATGGGATACAACTTGTTCTGGTGCAAGTTATGGTCCCTTCATACAGCTGGAATGAGACAGAGTTACATAAGTGTGAACAAAAATCAGATATAATTATATTAATATGACTATAATGTACATGGTCCTCAATAAGGCTTTAAAAAGGATGTTTGTTAAGAGCAAACAGCGTGGTGTGCTTTCAACATTTCTGCAAGGAAATCCTACTCAAAGCTTCTTTATTGATTTAAATAATGCACCGGTGATTTACTGCTTACCTAAAATGGGGCTATGTATTAATTTGCCACCCTGCTTTCAGGAGGCTGCTCGTTAGAAACCCTGTTTCTCATAAGAGAGGAGATACACAGGCACTTAAGTTAACCACATAAACATTATCCGAGCCGGAGAAAGAGAATTAGCTGCACTATCATCATGCCAAATGTAGTAATGTCTGCAAGTCTGTGTATCTTTCTCCGCTCCAGGACAAAAGTCCAAGAGACAATGTGATTAGAAATTCCCATATACTGTAAACAGCCCACCACAGCCGCTGGCACACAGCACTTGTGGTTTGATGCAGTTGTCTGGGAAAACCGTGCTTCTGAATAACTCCCAGCAACCTAAAACATTGACTTGAGGCTCTTCTTACCGAGCAGATTCAGTCCTTCCAGCCTGATCACCGCCTGATGCCAGAGGCTTAAGCAGAGTAAAACGTGGATCTTCTGATTGCTCGGAGGGTGCTATAACAGCAGCTCCTGGATTGTCCCCTTGCTGGGCAGATTTCTTCTGTTAATGGTGGAGAAGGTCATAAAACCAATTACACAGCTCGAAGGAAAAGAGCTGCACTAATGCCTGATCAGCAGATTATGGTTATTGCTACAAGCATGCCACAACTTTTGATTTACAGGACCTGCTATGAAACTTTTCTTTAGTTTCTTACCACTGCAGAAGAGAAACAAAGCAAAAGTCAGTAAAAAGTGCTGTTTTGTAGGAAATGATGGGGTACACACGGTGTCACTACAGAACCTATAGTACCACTGCCAGCATTGGCTTGTATCCTTAACCCAAGCTTCATCTTGGACCCAATGCTCTAGCCCCTGTTTCTGAGGTATCTGACATATTCACTGCCTCACCATTGTGAGGGTTTTGTATCTTTAGGAACTGGATGTCTAAATACCCTTAACAAAACCTGAATGTAAGGTACCAGACCACACGAGAAGCCTTTGATGGTTTAGTGGACTGCCCCTCAATTCCTGTGCCATCTGCACACCTTGCACTGTTACTTTTTTACACTAGACCATAAAAGTTGAAGACATTCTTAACATGCTAGTCCCTAAGGAGCCAACCTTCCTGATTCCTTCATCTGTACAACAAATTTTCCACATGGCTGAGACTCATCAGACTCCTATGACTACCATGGAGATCTGAGGAAGTTTTTAGAGTGGCTCGCAGTGGGAGATGAGAATAACTCACGAGGGAGTCCCATCACTCCATGAGGGGATGTAGCTGGGCTCCACAGCAGCCTGCTGATGCTGCCTCACCTACGTTTGCCTGCTTGCTTCCTTCAGCAGCCAAGGATGGTCAGTCCCCATTGCAGCCCTACGCCTGCTGTCAGGCTGATGTCACTAATATTTCTATATTTTTCTGCTGCTTAAATAGTTTGAAGAAAAAATATGTATAAACAGGAAAGAAAATTAGAGTTACAAGAGAGGACAGAAGAGACTGCCAGTAGGGCAGGTGTTAGTGGCTTCAGCTAGCAACCATCTTGGACAATACTGAAGGAAGTGGAAGAACAGATCTAAAATCATTACAAGTGTGCTCCTCTAGTTCATTTCTCCGACTACCTGGAGTGTGAGTTGCCCAATCTCCTCTTCCAGCTCTTTAACTTTTGCCTCTCGTTCAGCCACCAGCTGTCTGAGCTGCTCTATAAGGCAGTTTTGCTTCTGAGCCTCGTTGTTCAAGTGCTGCCCTAGCACCTGCTGGGACTCCTTGTTCTTCTCATCCTGCTGGCTCAGGTGCTTTAAGATCTCCTGCATTTGCTTCAGCTGACTCTGATAAAATAGAAATAATGAGTGAGATATTCACTTTTGTACACAATTATTAAGACTCCCTGTGTTTTACACCCTACAACACATTTAGGAGTGTGAGGGCAAGCCACTGCCCTGCCAAACTCATTCCCTGGTGTAAGCAAACTGATGTCACTAGCACTACTCCAAGAATTTGGTCCACTATGCTTTAAGCATGAGCTCAGCTTGCCTTCCTCTCAGCAGCTATCACTTCAAAGAATGGCCCAGCACATCTACTTGTAACACTCAGACACGTTCTGCTGGGTAAGGGCCATCTGCCTGGTCCTATAAAGACTTTAGGGACTGGATGGCTCAAGTTGAAAAGATTCTGAGAGGTTCAGTTTGCTGGGAGCTTTGCTACTGAGCGTAGCAGAAAAACAAGCAAGAGTGGCTGGCTTTTGACAAAGAAATAGACTTTTTCCATAAACTGAATAAAAGAGATTTCAACCTGTTTTTTGTGACATTCGATTATGATCAGACTGTGTGATGGTGACATTAAAAGAGGAGGGTAGTGTGAGAAAACAGCTATGAGGCTAGGCTTTTTTGCTGGTGGGGTTTGGAGTTTTTCACACTCTGACAAATCTAATATCGTTGGACAGTTTATTCTGTCAGGCGAACAGACTGCAAGCAAGGTACTTCTTTGATGTGATAGATCAAAATTTAACCGCTCCTTCCAAACAAAAATTTTGTCTTTCTGTAATACTTTTAGTGAGAGTGCTCAAACTTAGCAGAAGTGCCAGCTCTTATTGGGCTCCTCTGTAATCAGCCTAATCTGCTGGTCAGTGCCCATATTCCCCTCATGGCTGCCTGGGGTGCAGAAAGGTGAATGCCAGCTTAGTCATTACCCTCTGTTGGCTAAAAGCTCTGTACAGAAGCAAGGATAACTGCTTTTAAACTTGCGAGAAGCTGGATTAGGACTTCTACTAGGAAGTGGTGTATTTTCTCATTTTTTTTTCTCATTATTGTAATTGGGGAAAACCAAAGCAATCCCACAAGAGCGTGACAGTGGGCATTTATTTCAGCATAACTGTGTCTTGAGGCCCCAGCAGTACTCCTAGTTTTGAAGGCCCCACGTCCTCTCAGCTCCAGCTACTGCAACTAGATGTGCACATGGTTTAGTATGCATGGTTCAGGTCTTGCGTATTGTGGGCTGTGTAATACAACAAATTAAAGTGCAAGACTGCAGGCATTCCCAGAGAAAAATAAATAAATTACTATCAGAGCTGAAAGCAGAACAGAGAATCCAGTCCAGCTTCCGGAGTCAGGGATGAAGCCCTTCCTCTACCTAACACATTTCTATTTCTATCCTTCTGCAAAATGTTTCTTCCAACACTTGACTCCAAATCACCCCTAGTGCTGTCCTGCAGCCGTTGTGTGATCTACTCTGAAGTGCACAAGGGCTTTAGCTAACTCTGAAACCTCTGGCTGTCGCAGTTTGATTCACCAGGCCCCTGTATAAGGTTCTCTGTGTCACTGTGGCATTAAATGACATCACGTTTCATCACTTAGAGAAAGAGGGCTGATTGCAAAGGCTGGGACCAACAGTAATGGGCAGTACCAGTAAGGCATCTATGAGCTCATCATCGTGTTTTCCTTTCTCCAGCAGGGTTGCAATCTGTCCCTTCAGGGTCTTCACTTCGCTGCACAGCACTTTGTTCCTGGCTTTTGATGCGTCGAGTTTTTTCTTCACTTCCTCGTGATTTTTTTGGAGAGCATCGTGTTCCCCAGTGAGTTTCTGCAGATGCAAACACATCATAGGAAGTGACAGTTATAGCCTGGATGCTTTGGTGAGCTAAAGGAACCACACATTGTCCAGCACAATCAAAAATATGGCACTGGTGTATCATATCATCCCTAACTAAGCAGAAAGTATAAATAGCACTACTCACTGTTTGCTTGCCACCATCAAAAAAGGTCTGTCTGACCAGAAATAGAAGGGAACTGGGTTGGTTTAGTACGTGCCAGGAAGCGTATGATAATTCTGTCCTAAAACATAATTCTGTATGCTTCTGATCATTCATTTGTCTCACCATATTCCCATGGGGAAACTGTTTTACTCCCAGATAGAGGATGATGCTGCCACGCCGTCTACTAGAAGCTCTGTGTGGCACATGCTGTCTCCTGAGCCATGCTTTCACCTAGATGGAAGTGGCCAGGGAGTGTGCTGGCAGTCATGTAGCCATGGACAAGATGCAAGGGAAATTTTGGAGTGGAGCCTGAAACACAAGGGGAGAGTGGAGCCATGCAGATTACAGTTACCGAGGGAAATCTTCCCAGTGCTGCATGCCTGTGGCCATAAATCTCTTCCCTTCTCACAGCCAAGAGTGAAAGGTGTGCATTACCCCACTGCTCACTCTATTGCACGGTCAAATTGTGGGGAGAAAAGCAGCAGCTAATTAAGCTCTGGAGCGGTGCCAGGTGGCCTTTACAGAAGAGAATCTGGGAAAAGAGCTCAGGGAAACGTGCTTTGCTAGCCTGTTTGTACAGCTGACACCCCCTGCTGCACCCCCCGTGGTTCTTGTGGACACAGACCTATGGATCCTTTACGCCTCAGGGTTTACTGCATGCCATGAGCCATAGCCCCTTTCAAGCCCTAAACGTGTTTATTGTTGTAGCAACTCAATACAATAGATGGAGAGTAAGGCCCACGTTCAAACTGCCTCTTGGAAAGAGTCCAGTGCATTTCTGAACTTTACTCTGCTCAAATGTAGGAGCCCATAGCCGTGAAGATATACGAGGTGTGAGGAGGATGCTTGTATTTAACACTGCGTGGAGAATGCACACCTGGCCACAGGGAGAGGGGGATGCTCCAGAGGTTGGATGCAGCTAAGGCAGGGCTTCTGTCTACATGTGACTTCAGCACGAAGCCAGCACCAGCTGCACTGCAACCTGTGGCCTCTCTCCCTCTTTCTTACATCAAACACCACGCCCAGTTGTCAGGTGGCCGTGTTTCAGGCCAAGTGGATGCATCTGATGTGTGAATCATAAAGCAAGGGGGTGTATCATGTACTGCAAAGATATGCCTTGACATACAATACAGAAAACCAGCGTAGAAGCCTCTTGCACAGCCTGTGAAGTGTGGCATGACTTCTTCGAGGAGACCGAGTGGGTTTCCAAAATGGTCTTCAAGCAGGGCATGTAACATACACCCCGAAAGTAAGGCAAGTTCTTACTCACTATGTACCCAAGTAGGACTCTGTCAGCTCACAACATTTTACCTCCAAGGCTTCTTTCTTTTCTTTTTCTAAGCTGCGAATCTTCAGCAAGTTCTTCTCTTGGGCTGACAACTTCCTGGGATCAGCCAGCGCCAGCAGTTCCTCATCCGTTTCACTCAGTGATGTTCTGCTCTTGGTTTGACCCAGCTGATTCTCCAGCTCTCGAACCTAGGGCACAACACAGTGGTCCAGCACGAAAGAGCATATAACCAGAGCTCAGAGCTCACTTCTTGGCATTATCATGGTTACACAGCGCAGTGAATCTGTTTTTTTTCTTTTCACATTTATATTTGTTAGGTGCTAACAAACATGCAGATGCTTATGGCATCTGTGCAGGGAGGAGATATGACCACAAGACCTACAGGAGATAAAGGACACAAGGGAGTTCTGTGCTTTATCAAAGCCACATGTGAAAGCAAAAGCAAGGCAGAGACCCCAAAGCATCCTGAATGCCACTAAATATGTACGTGGTCCAACGGAGTAATGTTAGATCTCCTCTACAAGGGCAGACACCCACTTACCCATATAAATTTAAGCATCTCAGTCTTCAGCAGAACCATCATCCAGCATGGCCACATCTAAGGCACAGTTGAGCAGCCTGAACACAGGTATCTGGCATTGTTTTAGATGCCCTGGGGTTCTGGAGACACATGGCACAGGATCTACAGGACATCCCTACTCCTCCAGAGCAATGACCAAAGGTCAAAGGAACACCCTACGGCATCTCAGCTGGCATTAGACACCAGTGTTTGGGCAACCTGAACTCAGCTTGCTGCATATCAGCTTCACTACAGATTTATTTTAGCAGTCAGGAGAAGGAAACAGGATCACTTTTGATCCAGTGACTGTATTTACTGTATCACCACTGACTACAAAGGGGCCTGTGGAGACTGGCTCCGAAATTTGTACAGTAGAGTACAGTAACAATATGCACAGCCTTCAGCTGAATCAAAGGGAAATGTAATTTTGTAAATCAAAGGAAAATGTAACTTGCCCATGGGAAAACAGAGATTAACAACTTCAGTCAGTGCAAAAATCACACTTCATTGGCATATAATTCAACACCAGAAAAATAGGAGGACTGTGTATCAAATTACCTGAGAGAAGTTCTTATGTGAGTCAGACAAAGTGCCTCCCTGTCCTGAGCTGACATTTCAGCTAAACTGTGCCCTTCAGAAGATACAGGAGTTAAAGATTTTACTTAAGTTCCCGGGGGAACAACTCAAACATCTTATCTGGCCTCAATTCTTCCCATCTGACTTTAGGCACTGAACAAAGGTGTCTAAGTCAGAGCACAGAGACTGACAGGGCTCCTTCTGTACGCAGTGGAGAGAGGCACCTTCAAAATATCCTGGGACTTTAACTAGGCTGCCACAGCTCTCCAGAGTCACTGAACTCTCTCCTCTGACACAGATGCTAAAGATCCACAGCTTAAATATGGAGGCTTGCATGTTTGCAATAGACTAATTAGCAGGGATTCTGAAAGACTCTGCACACATCATTACATGTTTAAAATCTAACACACCGTACCCATGCACACACAAGCAATAAAGAACAGTCCAAAAGTTACCGTAAAGCTTTTTATTCCAACGGTTGCTTTCCTCAACACAGAAAATGTATTTGGCTGTGTATTTGTAGTAAACTTTTTGTCCTGGGACATATCTTATCATCAGGTTTAGATGTTAAGAATTACTTAATGAAGAACCAACAATTTATCTCAAACATCCCACTTGGAGCTTACTATGCAGGCCCTGTGCAGGGTCTCAACTCACCTTGCTTTGGAGAACAAGAATTTGCTGGGCTCGCCCACGCCAGCTGCCAGAATTGGTCAAGAGACTCTGAATATTCACATCTTCACCGACTTCATTTGCTAAAAGCTGTGAAGAAAGGATTAGGATCAGCAATAAGCCTAGGCTGAAATATCTGTGGAGGGGAGGGGAGGAAAAACTGCTCTCTCTAGCAGTAAACCCAAACCACTCTATCTATACACAGTAGGCTGTGTATAGATAAAACCTGTGTCTGATATCCAGGATCCCGTGTGATGTAAGCTATTTGGGACCATTATCACAACACAGAGTGTTGCTGCTTAGGAGGGATTTGGCTAAAATGCACGATTTCATTTGTTAAGGTGGATATTTTGGTATTTTAATGTTTGAGTATTAGTCTTTAAGGTTTTTTATTATTATTATTTTTTATTTTTTTATTTTTTAAATGTGAGTCTATATTTTGCTGCCTGCCTACCAAGTCTGTCAAATTGTACCATCTAGCTGCACAGTTGGGTGTTGTGACTTGTACCCCCTGCCACCTGATAATATGGTTAACATAACCAAAACCACTTTATTAGGCAAATGGCCATAATATGTAAGCAGCTCAATCACAAATCAGTCCCCTTCTACCTCCCCCTTTTATAACTAGTTATAACTACCCTGCGGCCAGTCCTTATTCTACTAAGGATCCCTAAAAGAACCCACCTGGCCCCATAGCATCAGACAACAGGTGTCAGGCTGTGCTACCTCTGGAAGAGGATTTCAAATTCATCACCAAGGTTTCCCACGCGTTGCTAACAGTTTTCAATACCTGCATTTACTCCGTACTACATATAACCAGAACTGAGCGGGAGCAGAGCAGAGATGCTGTCTGAATACACACTCTTGCAATCAGGCACTAAGCCAACTTCTCTCTTGCACAATTCTGAAGCAGCCACATTAACGAGAGCTAAAGTTAGTATGACGAGTGTTTAAATTATTTATAAAAAGGTCAGCAGAGTTCTATTTTTAGAAGCATATTCTCTACTCTGATCTGCATTGCAGGTCTCTTATGCAAAGTAATGAAACCAAAGGAAGCAGAGCACAGAGGAATGCGTTAAAACCCATCGTGAAGCAAGCAGGAAAAAGTTACTCTGGACATCACTCCACCACACTGTTTAAACCTGCTTTGGTTCAAGTGTGGTTTTTAATCTCAGTAACTTCATGGGACTGAGGCCTACATTAAAAAGTAATTACTTAATTCGATGTTTTGGAAAAGAGGAGTGGGCTGTATGTTTCAAGTCAGTCAAAATCTATTTTGCTGAACTGGGACTTTCAAACCTTAAAGGATCTGTACCCATCATAGCAGCAGAAATAATGGGAATGGTTATCCAGTTACAGGGGCAGTGCATGAAATCATCGTGTGCCCATGCACGTATCTTTCCAGTTCAACAACTATACCCATGGTTTTGGTACCTCCTTACAGTTGACTGGAATCATGGAGGCTAATGAAAGCTTAGAGGAAAAGAAGCCTCCTCCTGATGTCACAAGAGTACACCTCTTGAACAGGATTCCAGCCACAGGCTGCATCCTGGAACAGTACCTTTTGCATCATCTTCAGTTCCTGCTTTGCAGACTGGACTTGGTTCCGATACTCCATCACTTTGAAGTTGGCCGTGGTTAATTTTTCTTGCAATGCTTTCACCTCTGCACTCTCGGCCTTTGAAGAGAAGAATGGACGTGGTAAGAACAGAATCCTCAGTGAAAACGTAGAGTTATTAAGACGCACATATCCATCAGGATCACAGAACCTTTTTTTTCCAGACCCATTCCCTAATTTGTGGGGTATAGAGGAGGTGAAAACAGAGCGATTTGGTCACAAAACTAGAAATGGGGAGAAATCCTTGCCATAAAGAAAGGAATGCACAATAGGAAAGAACTACATGTAAGTATTAGTTCCATTAATTCTGATTTCCTCTCTGTGATTACAATTCATACCAAATTTCCTTCTGTCTTCTTCAGAGTTGACTGCTTGATTCCTGCATCATCACCACCAAGGGAATGTATTTTTTCCACAGCTGTCTGTAGCTGGAAAAAAAATGCACTGTTATAGAATGGATACAGTGAAGAACACACCTTCATGGAAGACTAATTAGAAAAAAAATACAATGGTAATTTTAATGAACCTGAATGTTTATTTATGAAAAAAAAGGGAAAAAAAAAAAAAAAAGACTTCATTTCTGCTTATTTTTTATAAGGAATCAGGAAAAAAGCCTTTTTCTGAAATGCCTCCCAAAGAAGCCTGGGTTATTTCACTGTGAAATAACTTCAGGGAAAATGTCTCTGACTTGCTGCAATGGGATCAGTTATGGGTATTTCTGGGGGATTTTCTCATCACAGGTTCATAAAATAAGAATGTATACATATAAACACAAATTCTATAAAGTACAGATCAGGATGTTGTCTCTGGATACCAGTTTACCCACTTTTTGAGAATATCACAGGATATTTAATAAAAAGCACACAGCTCTATTCACCAGAGGAACTTAAAAGGAGAAATGACTACCTAACAACCTACAGCTGAGGTTCAGTAATGATGTTAAATCTCTTATTCTTCAGCTGGGATATCTCTGAAGTAGCATTTCTCAACAGGTGAAGAGTGTTATCTGCTTGCCACAGAATAGGAAGGCAGACGCACTGCCTCTACTTCGCTGGATCATGTCCTCTGTTGAGGTTGCAAAGATTTCTTGCTGGACAGAAGTGCAGCGAGGTTGGAGCTGGAAAGGCTGGGACATGTTGCTTTTAAGCAATGAGACTTCATTCTTTGAGGTGGGCAGGAAATCTTGGTTATTTGCCTGAATAAAAGAAAGCTCTAAGGAACAGCTTCTTCATTTCAGTCGTATCTGGAGAAACAAAGTGCAACTCAGGGCCATCTTACCTTTCTTTGCAATAAATCCATGCACAGACCAACCACCACTTCTATCCAGTTCAGAAATTTGTTTAGGCAATGGACCAAGAGTCAGGAATTTCAGCAAGTGGTGGCAGCTGCTGGGTCCCATTTCAGTGATGTTTTCTGCAAACACCCATTTGCAGTCTTTGTTCATGTTCTGCTCTTTGCTAAGCGATTGCTCAATGACCACACCCCGCATTTTGTTTGTGGGAACAGATTCGTGTTAAAACGCTTATGATTTCCATATTTTGCAGCTCTCATGCAAGCAAAGAGCTAACAATTATGTGAAATAACAGTGTTTTCCCCTGGTCAAAGTACATTCTGCGACGCGTTTGCAAGGTACCATCAATATGATTCATTTCCCTGAGTTTAAGCCATCTAGAAGCGTATGGGATGAGATCCAACTCTCAAATTAACACTTTTCCTCTTCTCAACGTGGGTGTCTCTATTCCTAATTAATGGAATCTCATCAATACAACCAGGGAAGTCTACTCTTCAGCTCACTCTACACTAGACCCCTTCATCAGGTCAAGCAGATGTGCTGACTGCAAGTTCTTTTTTGCCCCCACACAGGTGTCTGGTCCTGTTGGAGGTGTCTAAGGGACATGACATCAGCTGCAGCACCCAGAGTGACACCACTGTCATGTTCAACGAGCCCTGTTTGGATGTCTGGGAGGTCAAGTGGCACCTCAAATGGTACTTTTATGCTTTGTGTGGGTAACTGAATTGTGCTTTAGTTGTCTTGTTGTATAATCAATGGAAAAAGATGAGTGGCTCTCATCAGCTTAGCATAAAAGTTACCGAAGAGATGTGAATCTCTGCAGGTTCCTCTCTGTGATAGCTCTCCTTACACTTCACTCAACATTTTTGATAGGTACCTCCCACTGTCGAGCACTGCTTTAATCCTACCTTCCTTCACATCTTCACACAGCTCTTCTGAATGGATCCATTCCAAAAACTCAGCCAACGATCATTAGTTTGGAAAAAAGCCATTCCAAAGGAGTCTGTGAGAAAATGGCCTCAAGTTGCACCAGGGGAGGTTCAGGTTGGAAATGAGGAGAGATTTCTGCTCAGAAAGAGCAGTCAGGCACTGGGACAGGTTGCCCAGGGAGGTGGTGGCGTCCCCATCCCTGGGGGTGTTCAAGGAGAGGTTGGACGTGGTGCTTGGAGACATGGCTTGGTGGTGACATTGGTGGTAGGAGGATGTTGGACCAGGTGATCTTGGATGGCTTTTCCAGACTTAATGATTCTGTGATTCAATGAAAATACAGACCAGGGCATGGCTTCACTGTGGTTCATTTCTATCGCAGATAAGACAGGTTGCTTCATTGGTCTTTGACTGTGATGGTGCTGGTGTCCAAAGAGCAGATTAGTTCGTACCTGAGGTGCCACTCTCTGCCCTGACCAGCACTGTTTCTTGAGGATTTCTGTTTACTTTGACTTTCTTTCCTGAAGCACCTGCAATTCCTTTCTTTTAGGTCAGTACCTGACAATATTTTACATTTCTGTGTCTTTACACTTCTGCAATAGAGGATTATAAATAAGATATTTTTTTTTCTTGAAATTATTTGCATCTTGCTCCCCTACTTATGTAACTTCACAGGTCCTCAGCCACACCTGGTATTTCTTAGCCAGCCTGCCAGCTGTGTGACAAGGCCCTTCTGACCAGAACTCTCTGGATTTATGCAGTTCTCAAACCTGTCATCTGCCACTTCTTCATCCTCCAGGTAACTGGGATCCAATTCAGATAGCTGAATGATTCATGAAAATAAGCGACTGTGAAAGATGGAGTCAAAAGGCATTTGTCAGACAGAGCGATAAACATTACTGATACATTTAAATGATGCCTTCTGAGGAGGCAAAGTGAAGAAAAATGCATTGATAATGATCTAAAAAATTACAAATACTGCAGAAGGAAGATCAGTAGTTGCCAATGAACAAAGCAAACACTGACATCGGGGCATCTAATTTTCATTTCAGCAGTCACCTGAGGGAAATTAGTCCCGTGAAAGGTCAGCCTGTATAAAAACATTGTAGTAAACCAGAAGAATATAGCTGGATGAGTGAAGATTTTCCATCTTAAGTGACATAGTTCGTTACTGCCTCAGTTCACAAAGCACTTATGCTATTTGTGTTTCAAATACAAGTAAATTTCAGAGGTTGGACTCGATGGTCTTGAGGTCTCTTCAAACCTAGAAATTCTGTGATTCTGTGTGATTCTGTGAATGTTTCTAACTGGCATTTCATACATCTTTGGCTTATTATTTTGGCTCAACCTACTGATAGCTTCTCCTAGCTCCTCTTTTCTGCAAAGGTGGAAACAGCTGAGGGCACACATCCCTCCCTCCTAGCATGGAAAGAAATGACAAGAATTCAAAGCAAGCATGAATGCAAGAGCAAATTCAAAATGGCAACGTGAATCAAACCCAGAGCTACCACAGCTTCTCTGTCCCAAAAGCTGGATTTGTTTCTTTGAGAAAAAAAAAAAAAAAAGAAAAAAAAGAGAACAAGAAAAATGCCTCACTTCTCTCTCCAGCTCTTTGACTTTGTTATTCAGTTGCTTCACTTTGGCTTTTTCGCTCTCAGTCTCGGCAGTTATCTCACGATTCTTCTTGGCCAGTTCAACAATTTTAGCAGCAGCAACGTCCCCTGCTAAACCAGACATCCCTGAAAAGCAGACATAAAAGCAAAGGACATCTCTCACAGGCAAGATTCAGAATAGACAATGCTTTTGTTCTCTGTCTGCCGCACAGTGTACTTTTATTGTCCGAGCCATCGCTCCCAGCGCTGTGCCAGGCACTTAAATGAGTAAGCGAGGGAAAAGAGGCGTCAGTGATCCAGCTGGACTGCCTGGCACTTTGAGCCAGCCTCACACCGTGGCTAGCAAAGCCAAGTTTCACCCTGTAAGAACAGCCACACGTGAAAAGGCCACACCAGAGGTTCTAGCAACACACCCAGAAAGGGGAGAGTGGTTTTCTGCTCACTGCTGTGAAGGACTGTTAAGAACTGGCAGAATATTGTGGCATTTGTGGCCTGTTATGGAAAAAGACAACACTCTGTCTTGCACTCGTTGTTTACTCCTGGAGGAGTTGCCGAAACAGAGGTGCAAACATTTTCTAGACATCTGTCCTTAAAGGTCAGGAGCACTACTACAGTTGACTCCTGGGTAACAGCCAGGAAATTTCATTGTGCCTATTTATAAGTCCCTCCTGATAACGCAGGCAGCCTTACTGTATTACTGAGCTCTTCTAAACACACACTGCGCCCTCCTCCTCCTCAGAGAGGGCTGGAGCAGTGTCACAGAGAAAGTAAGCCCCAGGAGTGCCCTCTGTGTCACCTGGCTTTTGTTAACATCACACAGGTGAAGAAAAGTCCTTGGACAAGTGCGACATCGATATAATTGCATGCAGCATGCAAGAAAACCTCTAGCTCAGCAATAACTACCAGCCTGCAATAACAAGTCATGTTTGGCATATATAATGCTCGTTATTTTAAGAGTTTCCACTGATCTTCTTTATCTGATGTGCTCCCTCTCATCCAGAAGCTACTTTTTCCTTAGTTTTCCTAACAAATACTGGCTGCTAAGGAGCACAGGACATACTAAACTAACTGAAATCCAGGCTTGTGCCTCCGTCTGATGGCATTGCATGTGTTTAATTAAAGCTCCTTCTTTCCCTGCGATGCGTGTGGGTCTCTTGCCCCAAAGTGGATAGGTGCAAAATGCCCCCAGCTGGCATCTCAGTCAGCCAAGAAGCTGCAGCAGCATTTCTGGCTCCTGGTTTTGACCCAGCCTATCACCTCTCCTAAACACGAGCCAGAGGTAATTATGAAGAGTGGAGGTGTATGCATTATTTAGTTTTGCTTATTGCTGGTTTTCCGATGGTTTTTCCCTTCTCTGCTGGCCTGGTCATCGCTGCTGTCCTGAACAACAGTGGCACCCAGTGGAAGAGGTTCCAACTGCACAGCTCAGCCTTCAGAGGACACCCAAACAGCTTTCAGAGCTGGACTTTGCGTTCAGCCAGCACGCTGCGTGTGTCCTGTTCAGGCTCTTAAACAAAATAAGCCTGAATAAGGAATTTAACACTATGTAGCAGAGAAAAACTGTAACACTGCCCTTTGACATTAGTATAAAGACTGCTGGAGTCGTCATGTTTTGTGCTCATCAGTGAACCAATCTGTGAGGAGCAGGGATTAATAAGTATCCCCAAAGCACTACACTTCTTTAAAGGCATGTATCGTTATCAATAACAATATTCTGTGCCTCAGTTCTGACCTGGACACCTCAGACATCTTTTGGTCCTTCCAACAGCTCTCTTTCTAAGATGGGGAGCGGCAGCATTCATATTTTGCAGCTCATGAAACTGAAGGGGAGTAAGATGCAGACCTTAAGCATACACACCAAGCCACAGGTGTGTGCCATCGTGTCAAACCACTGCAAGGAACTTCTCATGGCCAACAAAGCCATGAGACTCTCCAGAGGGGGGAGATGTCAACGTTTAGGTAACTGCAAATGCCAAACAGGGTCAACTTAGACTTTTGTAAGCTTAGGTAGCAACCCTAAGCGTTGACTATGTGAGTATATTCTCAGGTATCTACTTCCAAAATCCAGAGACAAGAGGCTTCAGTGCTATGGCAAATTACTGCCAAGCTCAACACCAAATCTCAGAGTTGTTTCTCAGTTAAAAGAGCTGACTTTGCTTCATCCTAGAAGCAGCTTATTAGAGAAGAATAAATGGAGGCAAGCACAATGTGAACGAAATACTGCTTTTTAGCCCAAAGCAGGTGAAGAGATGTCACGTTACTATTTCACTGCCAGGAGGATTATTTGGCTCACAATGACTCCGTTATCCTGCCTCTATTGTCATCAGCATCAAGCAAACACTGGAACTAACACAGTGTGAACACAAAGCTCCTGCGGTTACCTGACAAAGCCAATCTGTCCTCCTGCATTTTTTTCTGGAGTTGCTTTATTTCAAACTCTTTGTCTTTCACCAGTTTGTACAGCCTGCAGTTCTCATCCCGGACCTCTCGAAGCTGATCCTGAAGTTGCTCGTTCTCAACTTCAAGCAACCTGGGGGGAAAATAAGTCGTAACGACAAAACATCGCCATGATGTGCTTCAAAACAATGCTTCCAGAGACAAAATAATGCAATGACTGTGTGCTGAATGAGCTGAGCTCACCAGGAATGAGTTTACTGAATTAAGCAGAATATCCTGAACCTCAGGTCAGAAAATAACAGAAGCTGATCATCTGATATCTGATCTGTTCAGTTAACTTGTGTCTTCTTCAAAAATTCTGCATTTCCCCATGTCTTCTGGGGCAAAACATCACAGAGTAGGTATCTTTTTAGGGCTCCTGAGGTTACAGAATAGTCTCAGCTCACTCATTCTGACTTATCTGGTTCATCAGAGGAAAGCAGGAAGGCTTGCCATTCAGCATCTGTGACATTCAGCCTTTACTTCCTCTGCCTACCAAAGCCACCAGAATCCAACAGAGCATAAATTACAAGAGCTGCTGCAGAGGTTCTTTCTTTAAAAACGAATGCTTCAGAGCAACTCACCAGAGGCCCATTTCCTGTGTCCTCATCCCATTTCTTCTGGTATCCCACCAGGACGGACTAGCATCGGTTTGTATTGTTAATGTCACTTTTTGGAATTCATTTGAGAACAAAGAATATCAAAAAGCCCTCTGAATGGGAGGAAATGGCCTCGCTCCTCCAATTCTTTGGTACATTTAGTAACATTTATGGGTTTCATCTCTCTCAGGCATACAGAGGATGAACAGCTTTAATCTCTTTGCTGCCCTTCCACGATGGTTCCTCCAAGAGTAAAATCTAGAAATCAGGGCCGCGGGGGATCAATCAAACTGTGGACACACAGGCACCTACCCGAGACGCCACAGATTTATCTGAGCCCCCTGTGTGAGGCAGCAGAAACGTTGCAGGGTCCTTGTCTGAGTCATGGGGATGCTCCTGATGTACTCTCAGGAACCCCAGATACCAGCAGGCACTGATGGCAGGCAGCTGAATTGAGCCTTAGGTTGCCATTGCCTGCAGTGTGACCTTGGGTAGCTACATTGTGGTGATTAAATCAGAGCCCCACACCTTTACCCTACACACTGAGTGCTCCAGACTGCAGCTGAAGCAGGAAGTAGGCAGCCTGAGTGATCGTAGAGGGTTGGATGTAGGCCAGTTGTTCCAGTATATGGCTGTGGATATAAGCGTAACAAGAGGGATAAAAGCATTTAGGACAAGAGGGAATGGCCTCAAATTGCACCAGGGGAGGTTCAGGTGGGAAATGAGGAGACATTTCTGCTCAGAAAGAGCAGTCAGGTATCGGGACGGGTTGCCCAGGGAGGTGGTGGCGTCCCCATCCCTGGGGGTGTTCAAGGAGAGGTTGGACGTGGTGCTTGGGGACATGGCTTAGTGGTGACATTGGTGGTAGGGGATGTTGGACCTGACGATCTTGGAGGGCTTTTCCAACCCTAATGATCCTGTGATTCTATAACCACAGCTGGCTGTCAGCTTTCCCAACAGCCACCTGCATATTTTCTCTTCAAGTTTTAGCAAGCCTGTTGCTCAAACCGGGCTTTAGCTGTTAAATGCATGCTCCGTGTGTGCATGTCAGAATAAATGACCCCTGAAAGCGCTGTCATAAACAGCAGAGTCAATTTATAAGATGATTCACAATCCGTAATTAAGCAGCGCACGTCTGTTCCAAAGCTGCAAATCAAAGGGAGATCAAAGGCAGCTGTTTACAGAGGAGAAGAAAGAAAGCAGCAATCTAGGCAGAGAAAAGACAAAACTAAGTTATTCCCACGTGTACCACTCACAGAAGGGAACAACAAAACGGGGCAGATTTAATGAGGGGATACACAGAAACATTTTCAACCTTTATGGTACTAGCACGAAAAAACTGTTCTAAGCTCCCCGCACACCTGGTCAGCGACGGCAGCCAGCTCTGAGGCAGACAAATGGTGATAAATGAAGCAGTACGGATGGAAATCCCAACTGCAAAGAGCTGGAGTCTCCTCTGAGAGACTTCTACGCCTTACAAAGGAGGTTCTACCCAAGTGGTTCTGCAATGAAAGTCAGCCAAAAGCAGCAGGCCACAGAAAGCCAACCAATTTTACTGCAGCTCAAGTAAAGAGAGCTGGGGGAGCTTGTGAGTGACGGCTGTGGCTGAAATTCAATGTTTTTCCCAATTCTGTCTGGGATTCTCCACGTGATGGGGAAAATCACTCAATCTGAAATGCACCAAACAGACCAGGGAGTATAAAGCCACACACAAACACAATTAAAAGCAGAAAGACAGACTGAAGTGCCAGCTAAGCACCCGCCTGAACAAAATTTGGATGCAGGAACAGAAAGCTGCAAAAATGAGCTCCTGAGATGTTAGAAGTCCCTAACATCTTATCTTGGCAGTACTGCAAAGCAGCATCCCTGCATCCTGTTGAATCCCCTCCAGAAGCAAGTCCTGATTGGATTTGACACACTCAGAACCACTCTTCTCTCACATGTAGATGTACGTGAACAAAGGACAACGCAAATAAACCTGCAGTGTGCTACACCTGCTATGTCAAACGGGGCTTTTAAGTCCGTGCTGCTGGAAGCAGAGCTAAGCAACAGCTCCTGAACTACTCAGACCTCGGTTTCTGAACTGTAGGTGGCAGAGGAGCAGCCCCAGAGTTGCTGGGACTCTCTTGTACTCCATACCTCCTGCACCAAGATATTAAGGGAGATTCTAAACCTCCCCTTAAAATAAATCCAGACCTGAAGTGTGGGAATGAGTCTCCCTCTGCATTTAAAAAGATAAATGATTCAAATCTCCTCACTAATCTGTACATGTTATCAGAGAAAATGTTGAAGGGATGATGACAGCTGGCAGAGGTCAGACCAGAAGCTTACACTGCTCAATCAGCCAGCCACAGAGAGGGACTCGTGTGTGAAGAAGGGAACGGATGGTGCAAGGAGAGCACCAGGTTATTTCTGGAAGCTCAGCTCCCTGTTTTGCACAACCACGTTCCCAGAAGCACCTGAAAGTTTCAGTGGCTCACTCACAACCTCCCCGCATCATCACAGGAGCCCTGCTGCAGCTTCTGTACTCAGACATTCGAGGAAGCAATTGTTAGAAACAAGCTGAGCAGGGAGCTGCCCAGAGTAACACAGAAGGAAGATCAGCATTTAGGGCCCAATAAACCTGGCTTATGGCCTGATAAACCTTGGCAGAGGTGCCCTTCCCCGTATGGATTCTGGGAGGGAAAACTGTCTCAAAGGTATACAGCTACCTGCATGTACCACAGCACGTCACCCTGTCGTGACGCCAATAAAACAGCTTGTGGGGTTAAAGCTGTAACCTGGATCACTGAAATGACTTGAGATAAAACTACCCTTGCCCAGAAAGGGAATGCAATTTCCAGCAGAGCCCTGAAAACAGCTGGGTCAGCACAGTCGCAAGTAGAGAGCAGAAGCAGGAATTGCTCAGGCTGCCTTCGCCACTACCAGGGAGCAAATCCCAGAGTAGCCAACACTGTGCTAACTGCAGACACCTCTGGGATGTGCCCAGTTCCAGACCTGTCCCAGTCTGTGAAAACAAATTAATTAGGTCAGAAGGAGACACTGACTACATCCTAGGAGGAGGATGAATGATCTGAGCTGTGGCTCCAAATCTGGTCCAGTAAATTGATTTCTGCACTCGGCTCCAAAAGCAAGATTCAGGAAGAGCCACAGCAGAATGCCCAGTGTCCAGACAATCCAGATACTCACCCGTGGGTGAGATAAGGCCCAAACCCTTGCCACCAGGAAGATTTACAACCCTGACTTGTGCATCCATGTCATGTATCTTACCTGTGAGGCAACCCTACCTATAAGACTCTTCTATATTTCATCTCCTGTGGTTGTCTTTTGACTTACTCAATCATGTCACGCGGCACAGGTACATGGGGAACACTGTTCTGGGCTGCAGGCCTTTGGCTTGAACCCATTAGCTGCATGACGCTTTGCACATCCTGGTTTTTGGAAATTACTGGTGTAGGAAACCTCTTTACAAGGTTAGGCAGGAGCTAACCAGTAGCTCAAAGGGCGCTGGTGATTGTGGAGCGACTGGAGGTGGGCAGATGGCACTTAGCGCATCGCCTTAACCCCTCCATCCTTCCTTCAGCTCTTCGTTTGTGAAACTCTGAAAACAAAGAGCACAGAGCAGTGCTCTGAGGCTAAATAGATTAGTGAGTGAGGCTGCTGAAAGCCTAACACATGAAGATAAAGCGCTCTGTCACTGTGAGTTTCATAAGATCATACGCCAAACATAGTTCTGTGACCTCCTGAGGGAACAGTGCTGCTACACCTTTACCTTTTGCTGTCATCTTCAGTTACAGGTTGCTCTGTTTCAAACAGGTTTAGATCATTCGGGATGCCGAAAGTCTCCTTTGCATCGCCATTGTTAACCTTCTGACTGCTCTGCTTGTCCTTTTTCCTCTCCATTAGATTCTGCAGCTTCCTTTGCTGTTGTTCCTGAAGAGCCTTAAACTGGCTTTTAAAATGCTCCTGTGCTTTTAGGTCTGACTCCATGGTTTACTAAAAGCGTCGCAGGAAGAAAACGAAGAGCAACAGAGAGCAGAGATCAACAGCACATTCAAAACATCCTCTTCTAACAGCTGCTTTGTAGTTTTTCCACCCCGACCTTTGCAGTCTCCCTGCCACCTCCTCCTCTTCCTCCTCAGCCTCATGGCCTCGCTTTAAGTGTCCTTTTTGCCATAAGCGGCTTTCAAACAGAAAAGCCTTCAGGTCTTTTTCACTCTAGCGTTCAAAAAGCAATGCCTTAAAATGCTTTTTAACGTATCTGTTTAAAATAAACATTTTTAGAGAAGCGCAGGTTGGAGGAAAACCCAAGCAAACGGGGCAACTGCACCATGCAACTTTTGTTTTTTATGACTAAAAAGGACGCAGGCTGGTTGCAACTCAGGCCCACGCAGCTTTCCTCCCCAGGTTTCAAAAAAAGACCCAAATCCCCTAATTTTGGGGGCTAAGCTGGGTCCACCAATGAAAGATCTCTAGTTCCCCTAAACACCAGCAGCGTGGCTTACAACTTTCCCCTCAACTTCCGAGCAGCGAGTGCCACCCAGCGTGACCCAGCCGGGCACGGAGCAGGTCCCGAGGGCCCCACCGCACCTCAGCCCCCCCTCAGAGTGGGGGGTCCCGGCCTGGCTGCCACCAGGCCGCGCTGCCTCCCTCAGCCCCAAAATTTCATCCCTCGCCTCCCTCCCTCCCACGCCTCTCCCGGCCGCCTCCCCCACACCCTCTGTGCCCACCTACGCCGCCCCCCGCACCCCCCAGGCTGGCGGCGGCGCCCCCTGAAGCAAGGCCCGGGCCCAGGCTTCGGGCTCCCGGCTAGGCCGCGGCCTCATCCGGTTGCCATAGCAACGGGCGGGGCGGGCCCGGGCCGCGCATGCGCCCTGAGCCCGGCGCCGCTCCCCTCAGCGCGGCCGCCATCTTAGCGCCCTTGCCCCCTGTCCCTCAGGGCTGTAGGGCGGCCGCAAATAAGGGCAGCTCCGCCCGCCCGTTCTCCCTCCGCCCTTCTGAGGGAAGTTTGAGGTCCTCCATGGCAGCCCTGTGCCTTTTTTAAATTAAAAAGCCCTGTGGCTTTTTTAAATCTCTATGTACCCCCTCACGCAGTCCCCAACCCCCCCGAGGCTTTGCACCCAGGGGGAGCCCCGCAATAAATCCACAGTGAAACCTCCACCAGCTCCTCATCTCCACTGCTCACGCCCGTTTATTCATATCACACCTTATTCACATCCTATTTTATTCGTATCACACGCTGCTCTCAACAAATCACACCAGTGCAGGGCACATCTTGCTTTATTAGACCTCCTATTGTCACACTGCCACCATGGAATGTAAGCTAGTTGGAGAAAATCTTGCCCTTTTTTTTTTTTTTTAAACAAATTATCTTCATCAACAAGTTTTTGTGACTGCTGTTAAGGGCTTTAAGGGGTTCCTGCGTAAAATAACACTGGCGCTCTGCGGGGAAAGGTTTTACACCTCACAAAGTATGAGGGGGGCTTTTCGGATTCAAACATTTTAAAACTTCTGCAGTACCGTTCCCACAGAAGTCAGATCATACATTTTAAAAGCATTAGAACACCAAATCAAAGTGCATTTTAAATGTTACATTTAAATGTTACCCAGAAGAACACTGTAAATACAGTTACAAAATACAGTAATCTAAGCATCTGAAAACCTATAGTAAAAATAGGGAGCCGGTGTCTTCATTAACAATTAATAAATATAACATTTAAATAGCTGAAACACACCACATACTTATCTTATGCCTTAAATAAAAAAATAAAATAGATGTCTATAGATACCTTGGTATTTCAGAAGTCAGTGCTGCTGGAAGCTTCTAAATTACACAGCTGGAGGCTGACAAATATACAGGATAGGAAGTGCCAGCAGAACATTCACAGCATTCACGATGCTCTCTTACAGATGTGGCCTCTACCTAACAGAAGCTAGGTCAAACTTTGTCACTTTGGGCAATGGCAGCAAGGGAAGTCACCAACGGCAGGACTGAGCTCATGCTCAAGGGGAAGATAAAGTGATTGTACTCTACTATAGCCCCTAAAACTGCGATAGAGTAGAGTAAATCAAAAAGAATCAGACCCTGATACCCATTTTACCCACTATGCAATCATTTAGACTGCCAGCCTCGGGACAGCGTACCATACACAAAATAAAGGGCAATTCTCTCAAGCCACGTATTTTTTTCCCCTCAAGATCCCCTCAATATGAAGTTTCTAGCTGCAGTACACAGGCCACCACCAGCACAGACATTCGGGTTCTTCCATTATTCATTGGGCTTTATCACATACTCCCGTACCATTGAATACAGCACACCTGCATGACAAAAAAAAAGACAGTATTAGAAAGCTGGGTTAAATATGAAACAAAGGTTTCAAAACCTGAACACTGAAGTTATGAGCAACCAAAGTGATATTTCCCTTACTCCGTTTCATTTTCTTTTTAAACAGCCAAGATAAACACCACAGAATTTTTTATACACAGGAACTTTTCCTAGTTTAGTGGTATGAGGATCCCCAGCCAACGCTAGTTCCCTTTGCGGCCAAAGTCAAGCTTTGCTCTCAGACCTTCTGGGAATACAGCAGGGGCAAACAGTGCTTCATGGGCTATAAATTCACACACATACACAGCCAAAATACTAAAATAAGACCCAGGAAGTTGACTTTCCAGTGCACTAAGTTCAGAAACAGCAACATATTTACAAGGGAAAATATTAACAGCAGGTGGCCTTTTTTCTTATTGCCTCTCATTTCAATACCTTTAGGACCTCACACACTTTCCACCTCTGAAAGCAGTGGAAACTTCTAGTCCCAAAGTTAGTGGGGTTCAGTATTGAATATCTGCACTTAAATATTATGTGAACTCTAGGAAGAGTGAGCAACCAGGCATAAATATTGATATGTAGCAGCCTGAATGTTTCCACCCCGAGGGTTTTTAACACATGCTGATGTTACCCACCAGCAGAAGAGGTGTGAGAGGGTCTCCATGACCCAGAGGGCCCACCACAAGAACCTCCTGCTCGGTACCTACCACACGTTATTGCTCCCACCACGAAGCCCTGGGCTGCCACACGCATGTGGATCAGGTGAAGCGACATTTTCATGTTCCCTCGGTGCTTCAGTTTGTACAGCCCATAGCCCACCACCGCCACGAAGCCAGCCATCCCTACAAAGGAAGGAAGGCATTTATACGACTAAAAATCACCTCCAACACCTCGGTGGTGTTGATCTATCTAAACCAGAAATCCTGGGACTAAGCTTGGTTTTCTCCAACGCTATTTTTGCGTTTTCTTCCTTGTTTTCACCTGAGTGCCATCTCCTTTAACACACAGCAGGCAGAACGATTCCCATAGGTGTTAAAGCGCAACAGCAGCAGCTCACGGTGCGTCCTCAGGGTGTCACGGAGTTTCCTTGCTATTTTTTCAGAGGACACAAGCGCCGCTCGCTTTCTTAGAAGGAACCTCACACCAAGAACACGGCCGGGCTTCGGGCAGGACACTCAGTGCTGCTGGTGCACGGGTGCATCCCGACATACCATCGCCCGCTGCAGATGTTATTTTGGGTCATCGCATTTGGCGTGCTTTCCCCGGGGACAAGTTACAAGTCATTTGTCCCACCCCACGGGTCTGAGGTTTAAACACCGTTCGTTTTAGCACTTGGACGGACCAAACGCAGCCCAGGCGGTGCCAGATCCCACCGCGGACACCGATGCTCTCACAAAATATCCCAACCCCAGTGCCTTTTATTCCGCATTTAGGATTATTTACACAGCCCAAAGGTGGCTGCCAAGTTTTAAGGGCTGGGTATATTTTACTACCGAGAAGCCAGACAGCTTGGCTGCCCGAACAGGAGCGTGCCCAGCTCTAGCTGAGAACCAAACACCCTTCCCCTGTGCGTAATTCACGCGACAGCTTCATTAAACACAAATTAAGAGTTCTGGGGCCTTCAAGCTAGCTCTTAACTCAGGCTGAAGGTAAACTGCCACTAATCTGCCTGCGAGAAGCTGGACTTACTGAGTCCATCGTGAGCTGGAGCACAAAGTCCTGTGACCACGAACCAGCAGCTATCTGCTGGCAAGGAACGGCTCACCCCGGCTGACCCGTCCGCCCTCCATGTAAGGCGGCTGGAAATCAAACCCCGTCCCCTGTCAGAGGCAGTTCCTGAGCAGAGGAAAGTTCCCAGGGCACACAGCCCTCTCCTCAAGGCTTTTTCGGGTCTCGGCTGAGGATTTTAACAACATCCTTAAACCAGGGAACCGCTAAACCTAGGGGAAAATGCATTTGGACTAGGGGATGGGCACAAAGAGGTGAAACCTTCAGGAGGTGGGATGGATTTGGGATACTTTTGGTAGGGCTTTCGTTAGCTCTAAAGTCCCTGTGTAGTGATCACAGAGCTCCCAGCCCCTCCAAAACAAGCCACCATCCTCACCACCTCCCAGGATCACCCAAACTTGTTTCTTTTAACCTCACCTAACTTTTTTTTATAGGTTCTGGGCGCTGCGTTTAACCCGAGAGGCCTCATCGATTTCCCCCTCTCCCTGACAGCAACCACCACCCCAGGTCGAAGCTGCTCCCACATCCCAGCCCGGCATGAGGAAGTCATTTCACGGCAATTTCCTTTTCACGGCGGGCGACCGTGTTTGCCGTATCGATCCCTCGGGGAGGAGATTGCCCACAAATCCCCATCTTCCCCCGCTTCGTCTCACCGATGGGCACGAACGGCGTCTCCTTGAATTTCCGCAGCAGCTTCGAGGTCTGGCTGCTCTCTGCCTCATACTCGCTTAAGACGGATTCCTGACCGGACGACATGGTGCCGGCAAGGACACGGAGCCTCCCTGGAGATTTTAGAGATGAGAAACACAGAGAATTTATTTTATTTTATTTTGGAAAAAAATATAAAAAAAATGGTTATTCCACGCGGGCCGCAGAGCTGAAAAAAAATAATTACAACACAGCTTACTTAATTCGGTTGAAATTTCAACAAATGAGACCTTTATGCACTAGAACAGGAAATAACCAACAGCAGCACGTTCCCACCACCCCCAAAAACACCCTTTTTCCCCCCAAACCCGACCCCAAGCCCAGCCCCCCGCGGCCCCCGCGCTCACCGCCCACGCCGGGTCTCGAACCCGCGACCCCTCGGCCCGCAGCCGCTCCGCGCCCGACCGCCGGCACCGGCCGGCACCACGCCCCGCCCCCCCGCTCTTATTGGCCACCCGCGCCCCGCCCGCCCCGCTCCCATTGGTCCGTCAGGCGCCGGCCCGGCGGAAAACTACAACTCCCAGCGCCCCGCGCGGCGCCCCGCTTGCCGCCGACCAATCCGGACCGCGGAGAGACCTCCTCCCGGCGCCATTGCGCCACCGCCCCGCCCTCCAAGTCCTTATATGGGCAAAGAGGCGGGGCATGGCGTGACGTCACGCGGGGTGGCGCGGAGGCGCGGGGACTCCCCGGGCGCGCCAAAAGGTGGCCATGTGCCTGCCCCGGGCTGTGTGCGCTCCTCCCCTGCTATTTTTTATTGCTATTTTTTCCTAAATTTTCTTATTTTTTCCTGTTTTTTCTTAATGTTTTCCACCCCAATCAGGCGCCAGGAGCTCGCTCCCCAAAGCCGTGGGGATTTGGGGTTGAGCCCAGCGCACTGCTGCACCCCCAAGCTGGTTTTCCAGCTGCTGCTCCCTGGGGGAACAGCAGAGCGCTGCTTTTTCTGCAAATTGTTCAAGTTTTTGCTTCAGAAGTGTATTGGTGCAAAGCCACATTTTGAAATCAGATGGGAGTTATCTAGCAAATGGCAAAGGCAGGCCCTGCTTTCCCTCCGCACGATTTTCCTGCCAATGAATTGCCTTTTTATTGTATTTTATTATTATATATTTTTTTCTTCTTCTGAATTTAGGCTTTCCAGCAGGGCTTAGTTTGCCCCCTCTGTATGCCAGGCTGGGGATTTTAAAGTCCAAAGACAACTTAGAAATGGTTCCGGACTTAAACAGCAGGACCCTGGAGCAAAAATCCCATTGGATCCTGCAGATCCTAAAACCTTCCCCTAAATGAGGGGGCAACTCAATAGTGAAAGAGCCAAGAAATGAGGTTTTTGGAGCTCCCTGCCACATTTTTGCCCTGGGAAAGGCAGAGCCCCGCTGCTGACCTGCAGCGTTTTCAGCAGCACAAGAGCAAGCAGCCCAGCCTAAACGTTTGGTCGTACCGCTGAATTTCTCTAAGTGCGCTTCCCATTACTGATAACCTTGTTACCTTAATTGCCAAGGCCATTAAGGATCTGCAGAGTATAAAATGAAAAAAAGAAATCTATGCAATTACCAGGTCCTGAATTGAATTAAGGTCTGGTAATATATGGCAGCGAGGGCTGCTCTTGGCCGCGGCTGGCACAGGCCCATCTGATCCCCTGTGGCTCCGAGTGATACGTGCTCGGGGGGGGAGAAACTCGATTAAAAACCCAAACTTACGTTGTTTTTGTTGCTGGGCTAATGAAGCTGCAGTCACCTGGAGCAGCCCCGTTCAGGGGAGCAGCGTTTTGCTACCTGCTGACAGGGGCATTGTCCACAGGGATGTGCTCGGGGGCTTGCAGGGGAGGGAGCAGGGCTTCATTTGCAACCTGAACCTCCCATGGCGCAACTTGAGGCCGTTCCCTCTGATCCTATCCCTGGTTATCTGTGAGAAGAGGCCGACCGCCGGTTCCCCACAGCTTCCTTTCAGGCAGTTGTAGAGAGCAATGAGGTCTCCCCTGAGTCTCCTCTTCTCCAGACCAAATGACCCCAGCGCCTCAGCCATTCCTCACAGGACCTGTGTCCCAGACCCTTCACCAGCTTCGTAGCCCTTTGTAACCATTTACTGGGGGTTTTCAGCCCATACCTAGGTCTTTGGTACTCTCCCTTTGTTTCTTTAAGAACACTGATAAGGAATATCACTGAAAGGTGATGAAAGAGGCCCAGAAAGGTCCAAAATAGAACTGGCTCAGTGATAATCCTGCACTTACCTCAGACAGCTCGCACAAATTCATTTCCCTCCCCAAAAGCTGTTTTGTCTCCCCAAAGCCCCCACTCCTGGAGGTATTTAAGAGGTGGATGCACCACAAAGGGCCGTGGTTTAGCGATGGGGCTCGGTAGGCCCTGAGGGTTGGATCTTGAAGGTCTTCTCCAACCTAGCTGGTTCTGTGGCATCTTCTACGTACAAAAATAACTGCTTCTGCTGCTCCTCACCCTGTTCCCACCAGCGTGCTCTGGGTGGAAACCTAACCAACCCCTCAGTCGTGTCCTAGAGGGGTAGCACACCCTGGCTCCATGGTGCTGGGGCCCCATCCTGGCCCACGTCCTGTGGTGAAGGGATGCATGGAGAAGGGAGGAGAGTCTTGAAAACCTGACCGCAGGCAAAACGGTGGAGACCTGGAGGATCTTCTTGCCCACCTCCAGTTGGGATGATGTCCAAAGCTGCTGAGAACAGGTCGGGAGTGGTACCAGCCAGCATCACCCCGCTGCTCCTTGCCTAAACGCTGAGGAGAGCAGGGACGAGGATCCTGCAGCATCCAGATTTACTGGAAAATAATTAGATTTGTTGGGAAAAAAAAAATAAATAAATTCTATGCTGGCCAGAGAGGTTTCCTGGGCAGTCCCGTGGACATCTCAGTGCTGAGAGCAAGCAGGTTGGATCCTGCCTGTGGGAGCTGGGCAGGGTGGACATCACCTGAAGGTCCATTTCTCAGGCTGGGGCAGATGTTTCCAGTAATTGAAGTTTTTTCTGGAAAAATGAATCCGAAAGAACAAGTTGTCACATCAGGGCTTGTTACATAGCGAGGAAAGCGAAACACAGGATCAGTGCTGAGCAACCCCAGGAAAGGGGAAACGGAGCCAGGGCGGTTCCACTGAGCTCGTGTTTCCTGCCCGTCCTCAGACACCACCACAGGAGCTTCCTAAAGCCTGAGTCAACTCTGGCAGGATGGGAACTGCCCACCGTGGAGGAGCAGCTCTTGTGAGTGACTTTTCTCTTTTGTGCTCGGTGATAAAGCCGTGGGAGAAACCTGGGGAGGTTCCTTTTTTTTTTTTTTTTCCGCCTTGAAGGCTCCGAGCGCTGGCACACGGGCGGGCTGGGATTAATGCGAGCACTCAGCCCACGTCGTTTCTGTCAGCAGTGTGAGCATCAGCCCGGTACGGAGGGGAAACGACGTGGCAGGGGGGAGAAAAAAAGCTGAAGGAGACCCCAAAATGGGAGCTGTGGGGAAGGGTGCCTCTGTCCTGGGGCCGTCGGAGGTGCTGGGGAGTCCTGCTGGACGGGACCACGCTCCGAGCGGCCAAGCAGCTTTGGCTTCCTTCCAAGAGCATCTGGCCGGGGATGGGTTTCCTCCAAAAGACGAATAAAAAAGGTCATTCCCAGGTCTTTTTTTGGGGGCTGTGGCTGCGCTGATGCACTGCGGGGTGCTTGCCAAGGGCAGGCAAGCCGATGAGGGAACATCGGGAACATCATGGCCCAGCCCAACCCAAATTTCCCTTCATTTCAGCCGCCCCTGGGTGCCTGGGATGGATATTTCAGCAACCCCAGAAACGGGACTGCTCCAGGTAGGTCCACAGCTTCCCCCCTCGCTGCTCTGCACCATCAGGATCCCTCAGCATCCTGCTCTGAGCTTGGGGTGCTTTGCTGAACCTGCTTGGGGCGCAGTGGCTCCTGCTTCAGCCCCATCCAGAGGGGAGACCCAGTTCTGCCCCTGGCTGGTTGGGGGGACCTCGGCCCTTTTGGGGTGGCTGTGAGGTGAGCTGGGACCTCCCTCCACCTCCCTGAGGCTGTTTCCATGCAGACAGCAGCGGGGCAGAGCTCTGCAACGCAGCCGGAAAATATGTGTGCTTTGGGATTGCTGGAAAAATGAGCCCCGAGGGAAATGAGGGCAGGTTTGGCCATGGCTCAAAACCCATGCGGTCTTGGGGTCAGGGACATGTGCAGCCAGTCCGCCCTGGTTGCTGGCAGCACGCAGAGAGTAGCCTTGGCATGTAAAACCCCGTTAACCTCCGTGGTGCTGGCGGGAGGTGGCTCAGGCAGATCCCATCTCCCACCGTAGAAGATTTCGGCTCTTCAGCGACCCAGGCGGGGCTGCTTTTGGAAGACCTCATTCTCGTGGTGCTCCTGGAGGGCTGCGTGTGGTGTTTCTTGAGAATCAGGTGCCCAAAATACGAACTTCTCCAAACCATTGGCCGTTTCCCGAAGGCTGGGCTGCCGCAACGCTGACCTTGTGCCCCTCGCCTGCCATTTTTGGGTGCCCATGGCTTTGTGTCCTGGAGCTGGCACGGAGAGGGGGGTCAGGGCCCTACCAGGAGCACAGCCCCACCAACATAAAGGGGCTGGTGGTGGGTTCCCCTCACTGAGAAGCGCGATGCTGCTTCCCGGCAGCACTCTGGCTGACCCCAAAGCAGCTCACAGCGGGGTGTGGTGCTGGACTCTGCATAATTTAGGGCACGAACTTCCCCAGAAGCTCACAGTGGTGAGGAAGTAATGAAACATCCCAGAGAAGACCATGCTCTTAATGCGTGGGAGTGAGGAAACCAGAATGAGTTTTTTTTGGGGGGGTGTGTAGGCAGCCTTCTCCGTGCTGCAGGCAAAGACCAAAGAGTGCGGGACGTGGAATGAGGTGGCAGAGATTTAAACTTAAGAACTAGAGGGAAAACACTCCATGATTTTTTTTTTTTTTTGGATGGATTGGAATGATGCGGTGATCTCCTTGATTTTAGGCAGCCTCCTGTCAACCTCAGCTTCCAAGGCAGCAACGACTGCTGCAGCCTTGATGGATGCCCAAGATTATGCTGCCAACACCAGCGACTACCCCTACGAGTACTTGGACGAGGTGGACTACGTGCAGTATGGCCTTTGCACCAAAGAAGAGGTGCTTTCCTTCAGCAGGGTGTTCTTGCCGGCTTTTTACACCGTGGTGTTCCTGGTCGGCTTGGCGGGGAACCTTCTGCTCTTTGTTGTCCTCGTTCTGTACATCAGGAAGAAAAAGAAGATGACTGAGGTGTATCTGCTCAACCTGGTGGTTTCAGACTTCTTCTTGCTGCTAACCCTTCCTTTCTGGGCCATGTACATTTCCCAGCGGGTGACCTGGGATATGCTGTGCCCGTTCTTAAACGCCATGTACACCATGAATTTCTACAGCGGTGTCTTCCTTGTGAGCTGCATGAGCCTGGACATGTACCTGCAGATCATTGACGCTTGCTCTCCTCGCAGCTTCACGACACAGAGGAAATCCATCCTTGTCTTGGTGGCAGTGTGGGTCCTTTCCATCCTCCTCTCCGTTCCGGATGGCCTCTTCACCACCACGAAGCACACCAACAACCAAACCATCGTGTGCACCCGTGATTATGGGCAGGAGCACTTATTTTGGAAAGTAGTCTTTCAGGTCATCCAAAACGTCCTGGGTTTCCTTTTTCCCCTCCTCTTGATGGTGTTCTGCTATTCCCGCATAGCGTGCGTCCTCACCACGTCGCGGATGCCCGGCTTGAGGAGAGCCCTCTGCTTCGTCTTCACTCTGGTGGGAGTCTTCTTCGTCCTCTGGTTCCCCTACAACATCGTCCTCATCCTCCACTCCCTTCAAGACGTTGGCGTGATCCGGAGCTGCGAGAGGAGCAGGCAGCTGGACTATGCCATTCAGATCACCGAGAGCTTGGCCTTCGTCCACTGCTGCCTCAACCCCTTGCTCTACGCTTTTGTGAAGAAACGATTCCGACTGTATTTGTGGAAGATCTGCAGGAGAAGCGCTTTTGTTGACATCCAGACCTCTGAGACAAGCCCCTCTTGCAGCAGGTACGCTGCCCAGCTAGAAATGCTGAGTATCACAACGGCGTGATAAATATTTACACTATTTTAAGTTATTTTTATGCCCTCGATGCTGTATTTTACTGGTCCTGGCCATGCGATGGTGTCGGTGTGAGTCATGTAGGTAGAAGTGGCAGCCTAGCACCGGCATCCAGCTGAGGAATCTCCGCGTTGGGATTGGAAAACTCTGTGTGGGATTTGTTTCTGCTGTCACCAAAATTATGAAATGATCCAAGACGATTGCCCTAGGTTTGTGCTAGAACAGAGGAAGGCCCCGTGTGAGGTTCGTGAGGCGTTAGTGGGTGAAGGAGCAGCTTGCCTTGGTGCTGTGCACAATCACACCTGGGGCAGCTTCGCTTCTCCTGGCTTCTGCTGTCTGCCAGGCAGATGTGTTCGTAGGATCACAGAATAATTTGGGTTGGAAGGGACCTTAAAGGTCATCTAACCTAGTAGATCAGGTCGGCCAAGGCCCCATCCAGCCTGGCCTTGAGCACCTCCAGGTATGGGACATTGACCACCTCTCTGGCCAACCTGTGCCAGTTCCTCACCACCCTCTAAGTGAAGAATTTCTTCCTAATGTCTAGTCTAAATCAATTCTCTTTTAGTTTAAGACCAGTAAGAACCAGGGGGAAAGAGAAAAACCACAGGCTCAGCAGAATGGCGGTGGAGGTATTTGCCTTCCTAAGGATGGGTTATGACAAGATAAAAAAGCTCTGTGACCATCTTTAACACAAGTATTGGCTTTACATCACCACAGGGTGACAGCACGGCCTCAGATAGGCGAGCACGGACAGCTGGTACCAGTCCTTACACCCAGCGTAGCTTTAAAGTTCAAGGTCATTAGTTTGCTGGCCTTTATGTAAAAGGTACTGTTTGCTTGTGAACCTTAGCTGAGCTACTTCCAGCCTAGAAATAAAGTGAATACAGGAGTTGCATAGAATTGTGCAAATAAAGTTTATAATTTAAGACAAAACTCTCATCACCTTCTTACTTTTATTGTGAGACGATAGGACTGAGAAAGGTTTGGAGTTGAGCCAGAAAGGTACGTTTGCTTTCACTGGCATTATAATTTTTTTTCCAGCATTTCTACAGTGAGTTTTCATGCTGTTTGAGTGAAAAACAGTAAAGCTGGGAGCTTTGCTTAAAAAAAGTGCTGAAGCACATAATTAACCGGCGCTGTGATGTGGCCTTCGCTCCGTGGGTTAGGTCACTGGGAGGGAATGTGGAAAGGGAGAGCAGCTGGGAAACAGATCAAAGATGAAGGCTGTGCTCTTTATTTTCTGATCTCCCCGAGGAGGGCCTGTGGGACTGTACAGAACTTGTGATGTGTAGGGGAAGGGGGGAAGGTGGGGAAAACCGGGTGGATCGGGGAAGGGCAAGGGAGGGATAATAGGAAGGGGGTGTTAAAGGGGTTGGTTGTGGGTAAGCAGCATGCCCTGTGCCTGGTCACTGCTGTCTGTCCCATTTTCTCTCTAAATCCTTTTTCTCTCTCCATGTAACATCCCTCCACCCACGCCAGGTGCTGTGCCGTGCAAGGGGCAGCAGCTGGGGTAGGGGCTGTGGTCATCAGGACCCTGGGCTGGGCTGGCAGCAGCAGGGCACGAGGGATGGGACCCTCTTCTGTCCCCCAACTGTGGCAGGGGACATGGAGAAGCAGAAGAAAAGATGGGTAAAGCTCTTGGAAATCTTTCCTTGAAGCCTTTGTGCTTTATGCAGCAGCCCATTAACCCCGGTTGACTGCAGTGTGCCTTCCACCTTAAAAATCCCTGCCTGTTAGCCAAGCAGAGAGATGTCCTCACACTACAGGGGAAAAACAAATACTTGCTGCCAATCCTGGCAGATGCTGTCAGCTCTGCATCTGCATATCAGCCCCTGGATGGGAATAAAAAGCACTCGCCTGCCCAGCCTGGCTCGGGGTCACGCTCCCGGCCGGGCACGGGGCTCTCATGGAGCTCTGGGCAGCTCTCCTCTGTGCCTTGGTGGCATCGCTGCTCGGTGGGCTCTACCTCCTGGGTGCCTTCCGGAGCCGAAGACCCAATGAGCCCCCTCTGGACAAAGGTGTCATCCCCTGGCTGGGCTACCTGCTGGATTTCCGAAAGAACAGTTCCGAGTTTCTAAAAAAGATGCGGAGGAAACACGGGGATATTTTCACGGTGCTGATCGGAGGCCATTACTTTACCTTTGTGATGGACCCTTTCTCCTTTGGAGCCATCATGAAGGAATCACGATCTAAGCTAGATTTCAGGTCCTTCGCATCTAAATTGGTCCTCCAGGTGTTCGGCTACAAGCCCATCCAAGCCAGCCAGAGCACGATGCATGCTTTGAGCATGAAGCACCTGACGGGAGATGGGCTCAGCCTCCTGACAAAGGCCACCATGGGCAACCTTCAGAAGCTGATGTTTTCCAAGCTGAGCTCAGGAGAGGAGAAGCGACCGTGGCAAGAGGACAACCTCTTCCACTACTGCTACAACATCGTCTTCAGAGCCGGGTACCTGGCACTGTACGGCACGGAGTCCCACAGAGGGGTAGATAACGAGGAGGAGGCTAACGAGCGAGATCTCGTTAACTCCAACCAGCTGTTCAATGAGTTTCGGAAGTACGACCACCTCTTCCCTTGCCTGGCCTATGCTATGTTGCCCCCCAAGGACAAACTTGAAGCTGAGCGGCTGAAGAGGTTCTTCTGGAGCACGCTGTCCGTGAGGAGGAGCTGTCAGAAGGACAACGTCAGTGGGTGGATAACCGATCAAGACCAATTTCTGGTAGAAAATGGTGTCCCTGAGTACATGCGGGATCGTTTCAGGTTTATGCTCCTCTGGGCATCCCAAGGCAATACAGGCCCCACTGCCTTCTGGCTCCTCCTCTACCTTATGAAGCATCCAGACGCCATGAGGGCTGTGAAGGGAGAGGTAGAGAAGGTCTTGAGGGAGAACGGCCACAAGGTGAAGGCTGGGAGCCCACCAACTGACATCACCAGGGACATGTTAAACCAGACTCCTCTTCTGGACAGTGCCCTGGAGGAGACCCTGAGGCTGGTGGCAGCCCCGTTGCTGGTCAGAGCCATCCTCCAGGAGATGAGCCTGGAGATGAGCAATGGCACGGAGTATGTGCTCCGCCAAGGAGACAGGGTGGCTCTGTTCCCACACCTCTCCGTGCAGATGGACCCCGAAATCTACCCCGAGCCTCACAAATTCAAGTACGATCGCTTCGTAAACCCAGATGGCACCAAGAAAGATTTCTACAAGGATGGGAAACGGCTGAAATACTTCAACATGCCTTGGGGGGCGGGCGTATCCATCTGTCCTGGGCGGTTCTTCGCCACCACCGAAATTAAATTGTTTGTCTTCTTGATGCTGGCTCACCACGACCTGGAGCTGGTCGATGGCGAAGAGGAGATCCCAGCCATCGATGTCAGCCGCTGGGGTTTTGGGACCATGCAGCCCATCCATGATGTTCGCTTCAGGTACCGGCGGCGCTTCTGAGAAGGCCTGGTTGTGGTTTTTGGTTGTTGTTCAGGTGTTATCTGTGAAATAAACTGCCAGATCGCATGGTCGCTGGATCTTTGTGGAGCTGACAGCTGTACGTCCTTGTTCGGTTAGTGGTTATTGCGGCTTTCCTCTCTACCTCCTTCGCACGTGTTGCTGCCCTGCACCTCTGGTTCCTGAATTCGGTTAGGTTATGAGGTAAAAATTCGTCTGCGTGCCCACAAGAGAGCACAGAGGGACAATGGCGAGGCGGGGGAGCCCAAATAACAAAAATAACACCCTGCTGGGCTACTCCCAACCCCTGCACAGGGGCCACCTGCCCATCAGAGACCCATCCGCACAAGCCCAGAGGAGCACGGGGGCTTCGTGGCAGGTGGAACCCGAATTAAGGACTTCTGAGGAGCCAGCACCTCATTCGAGCCCCACAGGGACCTCAGCCATGTCCAGGACATGCCATTAGGAGCAGCTCTCCAGACCGTCCCCACATCCAGGTGGGTCACTGCCGAGGGGTGTTGTGGGGTGCAGGGGAAAAGTGTTTGGGCATTGTATGGGTCATATGATGGGATGTTTGGGGACAGAACCAAAGGTTTGGGGGTCTGTGGTGCTGGCAGCTTGTGTGAGCAAGGGTGTGCAAGTGAGACTGAGCTGGATGAGGCAGGGGGAGGTGGGGATGAGCCCTGCATGTGCCAGCTCCACCTTGGGACCACTTAGTGTCCCTTCAGAGCCCTAATGACACATCAGAAGGACCACAAGATGAGCAGGGATCCCAGCTTATTTTCCACATGAAGCATGACGGGCAGGGTGGCGTCAGCTTGTAGTACACCCCTACAGGTCAGACAACAACAAATATCCTCTCCATCAGGATTTCTTAGGGGCTTTCAAATAGCCTTGTCTGTCGCCCCCTTCTCCCCTCTCTTCGAGATGTGCTCCTGTGAAGCCTCCACAGAGCTGCCCCTCACAGCAGAGGTGGGATGTACAGAGCAAGGACACACCAACAGCTCTACCCCTGCTCATGCTTAAGAAAAGGAGAGATTTTTCCAGTCTTGTTTACTGCTTTAGCAAGAGGAGAAGTGAGTTGCAAATGTCAGGAATAGCCTACGGCCCCGTTTTCGTGCAGCATCCTGAACTGGGAATGCATGTGGCCACCTGCCCTTCCAGGACCGCAGGAGGCTGGCTGTTCAAGCCCTGTCTTGCGAACAGTTTCTGGGGATAAAAAAAGTTCTGTGTGTGTGTTTGTGTCTGGCTTCATCCCATCAACACAACACAGCTCAGGAGGGATCCCCCGCAGCACACAGCCAGCTCGCTGCTTCCATGTAAACCATTGCAAAAACCCTGAAATTTTGGAGTTTGCAGAGGCCAGGAGCAGGTCTGTCCTCCTGTGAGGGGATGGCTGAGACTGATCAGGATCCTGATGGTCCTCCACTCTTCCCTCGAGTTCCCTAGATGCCTGCTGGAAAGTGCCTCCCCCCTCCAAATTTAGCCCCCAGCCTCTGCAAATGCATAAAGAAGGGGATGGGGGTGGTGGGAAGGAGCTAGAAAAATGAACTGGGGCATGAGCAAAGACCTCAGACCCTTACAGACTACAGCTGCTGGGACCTTCTGGGACCCCAAACATCTCGGTTTTATCCACCTAGGGTGATGAAAGGTAAAACTTTGCCCTACAAGCTGACTTTTGTTTTTTCCCCTTCAATATCGCGGCTCTGGCAGCAGCACTCCTCCCAGCAGTTAAACCCAGCCGTGCCTGTGTAGAGGACAACGAACTGATTCTAACACTGACTTTGGACTTTGGAGGTTATGTCCAAGCGAGGAGCATGGCTCGAACATTTTCACGTGTGGCAAAACATCAAAGCCAGACCCTGCTCTGTGTCGTGAAGGGCAGGCTTGTACTGTAACTGCACATCAAGGGCAAACGGTCCAGTGCTGCCACACTGGGCATGAGCCCAGAGCTTGCAGGGGTAGAAATTCGGACAGAAACTGTCAGGCAGCTGTGGCAGAGCCAAGAGAAACAAGATCTACCTGTAACTGCACAAGGCTTGGCCGTGACGCTTCTGATTAAAAACTCCAGCACCTTTTCACAACTTACATGTTCCCTCTATGGTTCTCATCTCTCTCTCTTTTTTTTTTTTTTCTTTCTATTTTTTTATCACACATGGATTCTTTTCTTTGCTCTGCTACCAGGAATTAAGCTGGAGCTCTGTCCCAGGTTCTGGCCAATGGCCTGACCTTTGCACACTCCAAGCTGTGCCCAGGGATGCCTTGGGATAGCCAGACAGGTCAAGGCCACAGCAAGGACAGTGCTGCCCCTAAACACATGAACAACTGAACCTCCACACTTACAAATAGTCCCCGAAAGCACCTTAATTGGCTGGGAGAGCCAGACCCCGCAGCTGATGCTGGTAACTGAAAATCTGGCCTGACAGCCTCTCAGAAATGAGCTTACTTGGGTGGTTTCTGGTGGTTTCTCCCCCTGGTGAAGGCAGCACTGCCCTAAGAAAAAAAAACACTCTGCATTTCAGTGCTTTATTTTCTCAGCTGTACTCCCAGCCAGGAAATCTGTCACTGAGTCTTTTTTTTTCCCCTATGACAGGAAACTCTTCCTTTCCAGATAACCTGTTTCTAAGTATATCGAGAGGCTGATGGCGGCAGCTGCCTCAAACCTTTTGGGACCCACGGAAGCTCCTGGTCGCACAGCGACATCCTGGCCCAGTGACATCCCCACTCCAGGGCATGCTCTGGCACGAGGATTTTTTTTTTTTTCTGTGGGTCGTTTACATAAAGGCTGTTCATGACTAATGTACTTTGCAGTGTGTGTTTTTTGTTATCCGCCTGTATGGGCTCCAGGTCAGAGGGGAGGGATGGGTGCTGCACAAACACGGACTGGGGCTGAGAAGAGGGGTGTAAAAATAATGACAGTGACAATGATTCAGCAGGAAAATGTGGCTTTACTTCCTTGTCAGAATGGTTAATTTAACGAAACAATATTGAGTCTGTAAAGGACTTCAGACATGCCCAAATGCATGCAAGTGTGAGAAGCAAAAAATCACTTAATTTGAGGACGTGTGAAAGCTCCAAATGGGTTAATCAGCAATCAACGTTTTAGGCGTAGATGGGCTGTCCCCTGGCACCCAGCACTCCATCCCAACACATACCAGCAAGAGTGAAGAACTAGATGTGCCGACAGAAACCTTACTGGGTTTGTAAAAGAAGTTAAATCAGAAGAAATCCAGGGTCCTGAAACATTTAGTGGCCAGACCTCATCATGCTGTCTGTGTTGCTTAACTCCTCTGTCCCTCAGGAGTGGGATCTGGTCCTAAACCCTCGGTTTATCTCTTCTGTAGAGCATTGTGAGGACAATATGACCTTGCTATTCAAAGTTTTATGGTCTATTAAATTAGTGTCTGCTCCCCACAGCACAGTGAAAGCTCCTTTGCTCCCAGGTCACTCTGCACACCATGCAGGAGAAGTAGCTGTGATGCTGCACGCTTCAGGCCTGGAACAACACGGGCTAAATGTGTTGGAAAAGACCACCACGGGTGAAACAGCATCACATCTAGTACTAAACTGTAACACGTTAGGAACTGATTTCCCATCCTCGTCCCTCTAAGGAGAGTGAGACGTGGCTCTGGGAAAGCCTCTGCTTACGTGTTGCTTGTGGGGAAAGCTCAGGAAACCCAAATGCTCCAGCAGGTCCATCAGTCATGGCAGAGAAGCTCGCAGGAACAGAGGTTATAAGGGCAAAGCAATGACACAGCTAACACCGTCCTTCGTGACGGCAAGCAATCCATAGCAGATTTTGATGAAGAAAGAGTCCAGTTCAGGTTGCTCTGAACTTTTTGGAAGAAATAAAACCCCCAGCATTTGCCAATGCTGCTGGTGTCAGGTCCTGTGATAGGTGAGCCTCCCTGGAAAATGACAGCTGGGCTTCAAAGCAGCAAAGCCCCTTGCGGTGCAAAGCCTGCATGTATTGAGGTCACGGTCACTTCTGTGTGCTGAGCTATTCCCAGCACGTCACAGCACGTGCAGAACTATCCCGTGGCAGGCAGAACGCACAAATCCAGACCTTTATGAAGCCAGGTGGGCTGGGGCAGTGGTTTTGATGGGCAGCAAAGCAAGGCAAAGACTTTGCTGCAATGAACTGGCCGGGTGCTGGCACCACCGCTTCCCAGCTCTTGGATGTGCTCAGAGAAGGCTTGCTGCATTTACTCATTTTAGCCCTGCCTGTGAGGAAAGATGTAAAACTAAATCCTCCACGGGCCGGCATCCTGCTCATGGTGAACATCTTTCCCAGAGCTGTTCATACACGAAGTCACAGCTTGGTTTCTCCAAGAGTTGTGTCTGTACGTTCATTTTTTAACGTGTCTCTAAGGCAAACCGATGTGGGTGCAGTCAGCCAGACGAGGGATTACTGCTAGATCCTATGTGATGGGTAAGTTGGTCATCTAGATCTAATGACACACTTCAAATACACATCCAAAAAAACCCAAACTTTGTGAAGTTTACTCACCCTGAACCCCTTGAGAAGCACGGTCAGCTCTGCAGCAACAACAGCGCCTGTGGAGGGCTGGTGAGCTCTGCGACAGCAGGAGCTGCCACAGAGGGTTAATTTGGGGCCCAGGGAGAGCAAGAACTCTTCTCAAAGCCAAGCAAGCTCTGCAGGGTGAGGATGAGATGTGCACAGTGGCTGGAAAGCCCCTGTTGCCATTGCCTGTCCTGCACACACCGTGTGCTACCAGGCTGCTCTCACAGAGACTGGCTCTGCTGTTTCTCGGTGACGTGGGATGGAAAGGGTTTCCTCACAGAGTACATAAGGTTAAAATCTCTCCCGTGGCACCACTGTCACATGTGTACCACACACCTTTGCAGCCTCTCGTTGCTCCACAGCAGCCCTTCTCCACCCCACGTTCAGTCTTGGGTCAGGCCCCGTGCGGATGGTGCAGAACTTGGCCAAGTGTGTGGTGTGCTGAGCCCAGCTGCCCATGGTGCTGTCAGAGTCCTACTGCTCCTTGTGCCTGGCACGTGGCAAAGACGTGGCATCACAGGACAAGTCACGCTGTGAGGGACCT